CTGCGATGTTTAGATTAGATATTTTGTTTTGTTGCCACCATTGCAACATTTCTTCTTGGATCGCTGATATGATAAAAATTATGTTATTTAAATATATTGATATCTCAGCTGAAGCCCTCACCTCCCTGGTCAATTCACCAATGTCGCCGCCCCTTGCTTCAAAGCTGTCAATACCATCATTGATGATATTTTCAATATAGGCTTAATTTGTTCTATTGAAGAGCTATTTTAGGCATTTAAGCGATGCAATGTGCTTCCATTACCTAAAATATGTTGCGTAACGCTGTAGGGCGGAATTACAAACAGTACTATACCTACAGCAATCTACCTCGATCCAGTCCGGGTGTGGAATTCAGTGAAGTCCCTGGTTGTGGCAAAGGGTGTTATGTAACTAAATACCTGATGTAACGGGTTGGCTCTTTATATGGCGCTCCAGAAGTATTTGTACCAATATAGGGGTAACTAATTTTGTTTGCCTATTTTACATCAAGTTGTGTAAAAGGACTGAAAACTATGATGGGCAGGTGGTATATTCACTTGGCTAACACAGACAGTCCCCGAACTCGTAATAGAACTAAAATAAGGAAAATCGTATTAAAATTATGGCCTAATCCCAACCTGGTACACACACTACGAGAGTCCCCTTTATAGTCCGTAGACAGAGTATGGGGAAAATTTGACTTCTTCATAGTTATGTGGGTATGGCATGGGGTATAAAAATCTGAATAAAGGATGATGCTATATTCAGACGTTCTAAAAATCTTTCATCTCCTGCAGCGTGAAATAGCCACGTTTCTCGAAAATTATTAAATAAATAAATGGTTTACCGCGCTACTTTTCCCCACTTATTTAATTGAATAACTCACAAACGAGAATGTCGGTCGGGGACCGAAGACTTATCGATCGAAAGTTGGGGGATCCCCCATCCACTCTGACTTTATAGTGACTTCGCGTGTCCCATCACTAATTAAAAAATAACTCGCCAATTATACGACACAATTCATCCTAAATCAATCGGCTTCTGGTTCGAGCTATGATGAATGCACGTGCAAAATTTGGAGCAGATTCAACCTCGCTTTCGTGAGATATCGCGTGCATCTAACATACAGGCAAATACCTATCAACATACTTACCGATCTTAAGATCGATAAGTAATAACATGAAATACGAGAATACCGTTCGGGAATGAAGACTTATCGATCAAAAGTTACTTACTCACTTTTACTCCATAGCGACACCGCGTGTCAATTCACTAACTAATTATTAACTCGCTAATTATACGACATAATTCATCCAAATTCAATAGGCTTCTGGTCCGAGATACGATGAATGCACATGCAAAATTTGGAGCAGATTTATTCTTGCTTTCGTGAGATATTGCGTCAATCTAACAGACAGACAAACAAACAAACAGACAAATACCTATCAACATACTTACCGATCAAGATCGATAAGTAATAATGCACTTTATTTTTATGAGTAAACTAACGATTCCAATCATTTGTACATAAATGACTATATACTATATCTAAATAAGTTCCATATACCATAATCAATACTGCATATTCATAATCAATTATAAGAAACTCCAAAATACATATAAAGTGTTAACGCAAATTTAAAAGTAAAAATCCCCAAAATCAATTTTAAAGTATTGGTTTCAGATTTTCTGGGTACTGGCCAGGAACTATTCTTCAAACCATTTCAAATAATAACGTTAAATTAAGATATTAGACAACTTCCAAACACGTTGTATTGCCAATTATTGTTGAAAATTTTTAATGTACGGTAATCACTTTTTTCTTTATTTACATGGAAAATGATGTAAAGGAAATTCATGCTTCATAAACCGCAATTTAAGGGAGCAATGCACTATTCTCTTGATTGATGCTCTCTAGGAAGATATTTTTAACGATTTCTGAGTTTTGAGCATTCTGGCGTTTTATTTTCTCAATCGATATGCCTTATAGGCAATGGTGGGATTCAAATTTTTTGTCAGCCGGTTCCTTTACAAAAGTCATATTTTTCAGTCGGTTCTGTTACAAACAGAACATTGACACTTGACAGTAACCATCAGTAATGTTAACCTGTTCGCTGATCTCATAAAATTCCGTGAGACGGTTCTATAGAACCGGTGCGAACCGGCTGTATCCCACCACTGCCCATAGGCTGCCAACTTGCGCCCATCATAATAACTCCCGCGCCAACACCGAACAATATAACGCCCGCTGGTGATAAAATCAGGGCACAAGAAGCAGCTACGACTGTGGAGAAGGAGACCCCCCACCATTCCCCCAACAACACCACCGCTAATCATCGCAATGCTAACTTTAGTGATTTTCATTTTTCTTTTCGATACCAGGCTTCCAGCTGCTCCAACTTTTCTGGGTCGTCTTTGAAGTCGTTTTCCATCAAATTGTAGCAATGCTCGAGCTCCATATAGAAGAGGATCTATGAAAAAATAACGATAATCGATAGTATATGATCTGGTGAAGTTAAAGCATTATAAAAAAAATCTAAATTCACGCTGTAATCAATGATTCTTAAAGCAGTGTTTCCGTTTTTTTAATGGCAAATGACAAACCAGCAATGGTTAATGAGATCTGATCTGGTAAAGAAAGTTAAGTTTTTCAACCACGTTCACCCCTAACCAGTGTGGGAAACGTGGCCCTATTGGGCAACGACGTGAAATAATTAATACGGCGTAAATCTTGATTTGAAATGTTGGGGCAAATATGATGTTACAGTTTATTGACAATGTATGTGATTCAATCTTAAATATAAATACATTTGTCATTGCACCTTGGTCTTTGTATATTTGATCGAAGCTTTTGTTTTTTCGAAAGGAATTATGTGGGGTAATATCGAAGCCGTATTAGATTCTGATACCACGTTAATAATTGGGTACGTCAAAAATATGTGAACTAAAATGGCTGACACCGAAACGTAGTATGTGTACCAGGGTAGGGTTAGGCCATAATTTTATTCCAATTCTCCTTATTTTAGTTCGATTACGAGTTCGGGGACTAGCCAAGGGACTCCCGTAGTATTTGTACCTGAAATTATGGCCTAACCCTAACCTGGTACACACACTGCGTTCCGATATTCGTCATATTGGTTCACATACTTCGGGAGTACTTATAATTGAGAGCTAGTAAATGGCATATATATTCACCTCGCCTCCATATTGTTTATACATTGAGTGGAATATCTGTAAAGTAATAAAATATAGGTTATTGAAGAATATATCCATGAATACGCAAAAGACTACAAAAGACTTAATTTCCAAAAATAACAGTGCAAGGTTTAAAATTTCAATTTGTTATGTCACTCGAATTTTTGAAATTATATTTGCAAGCAGAATTCAGGTAATCTCGTAATTAGAGTAAATGTTTGTATATACATAGTGTTAAATGAAAAATTTATTGTTTTATTTAAATCTATTATTATGGACAACTTTTAAGATTAAATCTTGCAAACAGCTATGGTTAAATGTATTCCTCACTGTTAGACTTGACTTATCATAATTTGTGTCTCGGATATTTAAAAAAGATCAAATGTTTAATTAACCATTTTGTTGTCCTGAAATTAAAACCAGAATATTGTTACTTTCAAAATCTTTACGCAGCAGCTTGGCTATCAAAAATATATCAAAGCGTTTCAGCGGTATGTGTGTGCTAAATGAAGTATTCGGCTTTTTTAAATCCCTACTCCTTGTTGCGAAGTGACAGTATCGAAATAGATATGGGCAAATTTGAGAAAATGTATGCTGATGACGTGAATTTTACCGAGTTAGGAGTTAGGACTAGAAATCTATAGGTTTAATCGACTAGTAGAATCCGTGACGCTACAGCGCTGGACGTGCTGCAGTGATTAATCAAACATCATTTATGTGAATCAACACCTATAACTTAAGATCGACTATGGGAGAAAGCAGGCTGTCTGCACTAGCAATACTGCCCATTGAAACTGATTTAGTCGAGACATTATGTTTTGACGATATAATTTCTAAATTTGCTTCAATGAAAGCTAGACGTATGTAATTTGGAACTTTCAATAAAATTAAACAAACACTGCTTTGAATCTTCTGTTGTGTGGAATTTAAATCAGCTTTTACGACGGTGTTGAAGAGGACGGCATTCCGTGCAAAAATTCATATTTAGTTGCTACGCCACTGGCTGGTCATGTGACATGTTTCGCATTCTGTGGGAGCGCAGATTACACCAAACGCCACATCTTTTGGCAAATCTTCCAATTCGAATTCTGTACGCTATAAACTCTCTTAGGGTTTCGTTTGCTCTACTGATTCCATAAACAATTTTTATGTATTTGTTTTATCAACTATTGTATCGCCTGTTATGCTGATTGAGGAAACACTTATGTCGCTTTTGAGCATTGCGGTCCTATCGATTGTACACCTGGTTTTGAATTCCGTAATTATTTACTGTTTGTTTATGTTCAACCTAAAACGTATACACTAAATCACATCAGGATTTCCTGATATCAGATCACTTTATTGTTAGTATTTACTCTGCCCCTGCATGTGCGACACAGCCAAATATTATTCCAGCGCTTACAAGATTAAATCCTGATTATAGTTTCATTTTTATGTCGCAGATTCCAACCTTATTTGAAGTTTGACAACGTTCCCGAATTTCCGTCACGTGCACCGACAATTTTTCATACCACGAATGCAGAATCAATTATTTCCCAAGTCCTCATTCATGTCGTGAAAGGAAAATCCTAATAATATGGCGAATCACTACGGTTTCTGCTACCAGCCCACTTTCCCACCACCACGGCCATGCGAAACCCCACCAACCAAGCGTCTCGCAATTTTTTGTTATTAAACTATCCACCACGGGACTTCGAATCCCAGACAAGATTCAGTGGTTCCCATTGAACCAACTGTTAGCGTACTACTAACACATCACAATGAACGGTGACACACGACTCCAGGATGTATGGCTACTATAGAGACCTTAGCAATTAAGTAGGAATTTTCTGTAAGCAGATGCTCATTTATTAATAAAATACATAATATTACATTTTCATACAATGAGATTTTACTTTAACTCTAAAGAGCTGGTTGAACCGACATATTTATACCAGTTCACAACGATATTATCTCACAATACCAAACATTCTGGTTTAGAATTACGGGCGTAACATTCCGTCATCTTGTCATTATATTTGGCATACGAAGTTAGAAATTTAGTTTGAAAATAAGCTATGTGTAGAAGGGATTTCAAAGTTTCAATTTAACATTTCCAACAATGCCCCATATTTGCTAAGTATTGCATTCAGTCCCTACGAATACTGAATATTGTTGTAAGCGCATGCCATCAGATGAAGGTACATGAACAGGACTGCTCATGTGTAAAACAAGTAGAGAGCAAAGGAATAAAAAAGCCTAGTCATTCCTCACTATTCATTCGGTGATCTTCAGCCAAATCAAATCATCAACTGTTATCAACAAAATTGTAGATGTAAAAAAACATTTTGAAGTTTTTCGGTGGAAAAAAATCAGTCATGTGTATAATCACTGGTAGGCACTTGGTCTACATCAGTGCTTGAAAATAATGAATAATAATGTCTGTGGGCAGAATGAGAACAAGGATGTTTCTGGGTGAATGAAGGGAATTAGGTGGATAGAAAAGTACGATGAAATAACCTTCAAGGGTGACTATAGGTAACAATAAAGAGGCAAATATTGTTTTAGAATTAAATAAAATTCAGTAAAACCAGCATCAATAGTAACCAGAATTCGGGATATCGTATTTGGGTTTGAATTTAGAACTGAAGTTTAATGAAAAAGAAATATCTAGAACAACAATACATTATGAAAACACTAAAATTGTTTGAGAAAATAACTTCATGCTTAAAAACTAGCAAAACAAAAATAAATCTGGTGACAAAATATTTATTACCCGAAAGATAAAATTAACATTACAAAAATCAACAGTAAAAAAATAGTTTTAATTTAATGTAGAACTGTGCTCAGATAAACAAAAACGGACTAATGTGAATATATTTGAAATACATGCATGGCTTTTCATTCAAGGTTTATTAAAAATAAAAAATTGGTCCATATAACTAAAACAAGGGTTTATTTAATTGTCTTTGAAGCAATTTGTAAATCCAAATGTGAGTTGTAAATTAGGAGGAAAAATATTTTGTTCATCCCCAAATAAAACGAAAGTGGAGTTTGACTGTCTCTACTACATTAGGCGAAGTGGAACAGCACAATCAATCACTATTACTTGTATCGAAACAGCCATACTAATAGTATTGAAATCAATTTGAACTCTTGGACAGATACCAATGCTCTTGTATGGAATGAATCAAATGATTCGACTCGCTCTGTTATACTTTGCAAAATAAGACATGGCATATATTGATGGAAACTTTATTGGTCAGTGAAAGTCAACCAAGGAAAATATTTTATACTTCATTCGATGAACTAATAAATACATGCAGACCATTTTTGAGCATTTCAATGATTTTCTAGGATGTATAGATCAGTTTATTTAAAACCATGTTAGCAATTCAGTATAGCACTCGCTAATTCGTACAAAGTAATGAAGAAAATACTGTACTTGGCCAACTTGACCCTGAATGTACCGCACATACCATAATATAACAAGTCCAGCTAAGTACTACAACATACATTGAACATTGTACAATAATGAAGGGCCAAGATAAAGAAGAGTTGTAAATAAAACTGTTAAGTGACAAAAATAGGTCAATAGAAAGAAGAAACATGTACTGTATTCGTTTTATCCAAAGATTGGACAAATAGCAGAAATATATAAACTTAATATAAATCATTTGTCAGAAAAAATTTCAGTCTAACACACTTTGATCAAAAGGATGCAGCAATTACAAAGGCTGGTTCTCATGTTGCAAATAATGAGCTGTCCTGTGCAATCATAGTTTGGCATGAATAGACACCTAATAAAAAAGCTGATCTAGATGGATTATGTCATTGCGTAATCCAGCTAATATGCTCTAACACAAGTGTAAGGAGTGTTTTCTGGTTACTGGACAAGATGAATAAAACTTCTCAAAAATAAGTTGAACTCTAGGGATGCTTTTCTATAGATGCAATCAAAAATTTATCATCATATGTGACCACAGATAAGAGAGTTTGAATGATCTGTCGACCATAAGTATAAGTTTTTTTCCTGATTTTAAGTTTTGATTTTTAGTATTACGGTTTGTAGAAATTTATTTCATTCTAAATTTTTGTTTTGCTTAGTTTGCCTATAGTTGGCTTCACTAGTGACTGCAAATTTTTTCATGATTCCAAATATGAAGGGAAAAGTATGTATCAAATATGTTGTCCTTTACGTAGAAATCAAATCAAATGCACAATATTCTAAAAGCTTTACTTCTCTAATTTACAATTTTTATCGCCAATAAAAGACTGTGATTTTACTTTACACTTTGATAAAAAAAAATTCGCAATAGAAAATATGATACCGACTTATGGATAGTACGATGATAAATTTTAGATTGATGTATAGAATATATCGATATGGGGATTGGTACCAAATCAATTTGTTGAAGAAAATTCCATGCTTTAATGACGCAAAAATATAATTAAACATTAAAATTCTAATATGAAAGTTGCATCAATTGATAAAAGGAATAAGTATACACACATTTATATATATATATCTATAAACAAAAAAGATATTCGCTTGGCTTTTTATTATCAGTGCAATGTGCCTGCCCAACGGAAAAAGATGTAACATGAGGCTATTTGGCAATGCTCATTGCGCCTGGCAATGTCAATGAATCAAACCTTCCTAGCTTTTTCCTTGGTCAGACAAATGATTATCAGTAATTATGTATGTAGTAACACTTTCATATTTGAGTTTGGCCAAATATGATCTTTAAAATATTAATGTTTAATTTAATTCCACCATGGAGTTTGATATAGTCAACTTTTATTCGCAGGCCAATTTTCCATCAAAACTCGAAAGTGCTATAGCAAAAGCCTGCAGTGCACACATTGGGTAATTGTAATCGAGTGTGAAGACATCTTCTGCTACACGGCCAAATTGCATCACAATGTAGTCAGCTGTAAGTACAAAGTATAGGAATCTGGTCAGTAAAAAAAGTGAATAGAAATAGTCAACTGTACGGAAGCATGAGAAACAAGGCTTACTATATATATACCCAATTGTAATTTTGACCCGTCTGTCAAGGTCTATTGGACTAGGTCTAGATCAGTTTTCCAAACATTTTGAGCTGCAGACCCTTATTTGTGAATCTTAGTTTTGACGGACCCCCATCCTATGCTGTATCAATTTCTGTACAAAAGCAATGATAAAAGATAATGTTTCATTCACAACACAACAATACAAACGACATTAATGTGATGGATTGAGTTTGCTTTTCACTGCACAATTTATCGACTCTCAGAGCAATTTGTGATAAGCACAAGTCTCGACTTATATTTTGTCATCATATTGGTAAGAGCTGGAAACGCTGCCTCACACATGCAGGTCATTGCAAAAGGCAATAAATTTTAATTGCCTTTTCTGACAGCAAGGAATTTTTGTCTGCAACGCTCAACCAAAGCAACGCAAGGGCTTTGTGATTAAAAGCAATCCTTAAAGACCGATCAGACTTTTTCCATATTGTTGCGGAACCCTTGTGCAGTAATCACGGACCGCCAGGGGTCCACGGACCCTAGTTTGGGAAACCCTAATCTAGAAAACAGGCTCAATTTTCGGGCTCCTACTGATTTATACTTTAATAATAAAAAAGGTGTACCAGAGAGGTTTAATATTTAAACAACTAGTTATTGCAAAATTAAATCAATATTTTGAGAAACTTACGATCACTCTGGTGCACAATTTGGAAATTTTTGACTGAAGCCTGTGTCACTCGTCCACGAAAGTTGAGAACATAAGATTGTGTTTCTGAAAAAAAAATGAAATAAACTCACAGCTATATCCAGTAAAGTCAAAAGTACAAAACCAAAAGGGCAGACAGAAGTTCCAACTTTTAGATCTGACTTAAATTCATAGACATAAGTAACTATTTAAAATAAAATATAAGAATGAATTCTAGCTATGAAAAATATTGAAATATCCATTTTCGTTTACAAATTTTTAGATTACCTTATTTGCAAAGTGAAATTGCCATATGCACTACACTGATATATATCGTCAGATGTATATCAGTATGATGGATATTCTACTTTCACTTCATACAAAACTTCATGAATATTTTACAAATATGTCATGCGCAAGAGAATGCTAAAATATTTTTTAAAGAAATTGTATGAAATGTATTTAAGGAAAGTGTAATGTTCAGTATCTATAGACAGTGCTGCACAGGTAACTTACAACCAGTATACACAAGAATATACTCATTATGGTAGCTGAAAAATTTAAGATGGCTTTTACAGTCGTAAAATCAAGTTGTAAATAACTGCTGAGGCAAAGTGTTTACAAAGCTATGTGTAAAGGAGAATGCTATTCAATTTAAATATACTAATTCACTTCAATTCCTGAAAATAGTATTTTATTACCTGCATTCCTAACTAGTAAGTTTTTCCTCAGCAAATTTAAAAATCTAATAATATTACCTTCGTTCCATACAGGTGTTTTATTGCTCAGTTCAATCAGATTATCCATGTTTTTATTTTGCCATCGAGACAATATAGTTTCTCTGTCCTGAATATGCACAAAGAAAAATAAAATGAGTATGAAAGATACAGAATATTTGAAATTTAGCCATTAAAATACAAGATTACTCAAATTACTTAACAGATTAAAATAAATGGTGGGGGATCATGGGGTTCAACCCCCGGGTACAAATTGGGTAGACTATGCCGAACCAGAAAGATTCCAGTCTGTACATCAAAAGCAGCTCATCGGGAGCCTCGTTTGAGGCGTTATGTGTGATACAGACTCCCTTTTAGTTTAAATTAATAAAAATATTCATCTCAAGAATTATTGTTCCTAATCCCAAATAACCTCGAGTCAAGTTAGTTTCAATTTTACTTCTAACAATATCCCTACTTGAGCGAGAGCTAACAACAGCAGAAATAGATTTTATCATGTTCGCAATAAACTGAAATTCAGTTTAATTATTACCTACTTAACATACAATAAATCAAAAATCCAAACAGATTAAGGTTCCTGAGCCATATCTTATCAAATAACAAACATAGCAACTCAAAAATAAACAAAGAGAATGTTGTGTGCGAAGTGGATTTTATGTGGCCTATTAAATGCCTTTATGGATAGCTGCAATGTACTGTTCGAAGAATCACTTGAATCATATTTGGTAAGTGCGAATACAAACAATTAATCTATGAAGTAAGCTGACGTTCAACCTGCCATTCAAGTACCGTGAGTAGTGATTTCCGGCAAATGTATTTTGCCACAATGTTAAAGTATGTATGAAAATACCACACAAACAGTATGTGAGAGAGCATGAGAAGTTTTTTATAACTATATTATGAAATACCACAATAAAAAAGCTAAATAACTTACATCCATAGGTTTGAATTGTACTCGTTGGTGATTATTATTCATACCAGGAATGATGACAGTCATTTTACGAGGTCCCTGTTAAAAAAGATTATTTTATTTTCGTCAAAGCCGCAGGTAATGATCGTGTACTGTAACACATGATTCGTAGGTTCGAGTATAAGTTAGTCTGTTGATATGCAAAACTTGGAAAATTATTTTGGGGTAGATTTCTACTAAGTTCACTAACGTACTAGCTTTATATCTCTCGGCAGTCTTGAAAACTCAAGATATGATTAAAAATCACATTATCCTCTGTAGGTAGAATACAAAATTTTGGGCGCCCCAGATGCATGGCACACAACCTGAACCCTAAACCTAGTACAAATAATGCGTTCAGGTTGTGCGCCATATTGGTGCACATACTTCTGGAGCTCGAAATTTTGGGTACTCCGTAGTGTGTACCAGGTTAGAGTTAGGCCATAATTTTATTCCGATATTTCTTATTTTAGTTCTATTACGAGTTAGGGACTATCTGTGTTATCCAAATGAATATACACCGCCTGCCCATAGGTTTCAGTCCCCTTTACACAACTTGATGTAAAGTAGGTATGTAAGTACACATACTTCTGGAGCCCCAAATTTCGACGTTATATGATTTGTTATAACTTCTGCATTTCAAAATGTGTAGCGTAGCAAGCATGAGAATAAAATTTAACAATCAACGTTCGGGCTTTGCAAAAGGGATAATAAAAATAGATTACAAATCACAGTACCTTGAATCCCAGAACATTAGTTTCATAACAGACAGAAACAAGCTCTTCTCTTAAATTACTTCGATCTGGAGCCACTCCAGGCTTTCCGAATTTTATTCCATGGTCGTATATTGTGAATTTCGTTCCCATTACATTAGAACGTAATTTGCCTGAATGACAATAATATGTTAGTGATGACAAAACTGTTTCAATTCATCTACTTGCGTAAATAGGTGAAAATTGACTAGAAAATTTCCACAGCAGCTGATTGGAATAAAATTGCCATATTTATCGCCTAATATAAATTGTTTTTTATATACATTGCTTTGATTTGTCATAAGTGCACTTGTAAGTTTGTTACTAATCCAATTTAGTTCTTGTTTAGTTATTGTAAGTGTATGCCAATGCTAATGGTTATGTGGTGTCTTTTCAATTTCCAGTGATGTTCAGTAGATTCATTCATTCAATGAAATTAGTTACTTTAAATCGTGACTTGACTATAGAAATTACCTATATACGATTCTCCTCCTCTTGAAAGGTCTGTTGCATCAATGGATATCAAATAATTTGACGTTTTGCTTCTTTTTCGTTTCCTTCCAGCGAGTAAAAATACCTAAATAGGGATTATAAAAAGTCATGAAGTTTCCTGTACGGAAATCCCAAATGGATGTAATGTAGATATGTAGGCTACATAATATCTTCCAATATTTAGTCATTACATTTACAACCATGAAATAATAACATGAAGAAATCCCACTGCCTGCCTTGCAAAGGCTGATCTTGAACTCTAAATAAACATTGAAAAAAATCACAACATACTGGTTTCTACATTATACACAGAGTTAAAGAATTATGATACAATGACTGAATTTATTTTTGGTAATAAAAATGAAACAAGTAAATCGATCACATTTACAGCAAACAGAACAAGGGAACATACAAATTTAAAATGAGGATAGAAATACCTTTCTACCATCATCTCTTTCATAGTGAAGATAATAAGTCGGATAAGCATGTTTATCAACCCCACGCTTGTCACGAGTAATTCGACATTTCACAGTGTAGCCCTGGTAATAAAGGAAAAAAACTTATAAAAAATATATATCGGCAGAATTAGTAGGTGTAATAAAAGTTACTTTATGACCATCTCCATATTGTGTTAAAATGAGATTATTTTATAAGAAAATGAAAAGATGAATTTCAGTTGAAGTTGAAGAGAACAAAGTCATTGAATAGGTATAATACTTTTGTGTAATGAGTTATTTTTGTCAATAATGTCGACTAACACTAGATAAATAATATTACCTTATAGAAGTAAAGAGAGTGCATAAATATGCACCAGTATATAAATAATATAAGGTTACTTGAGGTGCAGGAGTATGTGCAAATCCTTCTAAATCTTCCAGATCCATGCCAGGAGGAGCAAATCTTCCTCCACTACTTCCAGGCCTTTCATCCAAACTCTGGAATTCAAAATAAATTGTTTTGTATTGCCATGTTCCCCATCAAATTCATTATTGGTAGTATAGATAACTATATACAAAATAAAACTATAAAATCATCACAAAATCGAGAAATAATGCAAACAAACAGAACACAATAGAAAAAATCAACTAGAAAATTAACTACGATATTAATGATGTAAATCATAACTGACAAAAAATCATACCCAAACCAAACATTTATTTATAGCAGATTACCGTACATAAAACAGTATACTTGTTAAGTTTTCTCAAAATACCTAAGCAAACACATTATTAGCGGCTTAATTAGATGCTTCCTATATTTGATATCTATAATTAGATGTGGAATGACTTCACAGGTCATATATCCTTGATGCGACACCTCGAGTCTACTTCTATCTATAACTCATGCTATAAATGCCTTGAACTGAATTTGTCATTAATAAAACACGAAATATATGACTCACACCTTAATAGCAGGGGGATGCATTGTGGAAACTCTGCCTGATCTATGAGTTATCTTCTTCACTTCTCCCACTGGCCTCTTATCAGTGAAAAACTTTCTATGTACCTCACTCATCTTCTTTGAAAAATTCTCATGTAATTCTCTTTCACTCCTGTCTAGTGCTATTGCTTGATCATATGATGCTAACGTTTCAAAATTTTCTGCACTGATAAAAGCTTTTTCACCCGTATATTTAAATTCCATCCATAAATCTTCCAAAGTTTCAATTACTTTGGTCAATGAATCATCAGAATTTAAAATGGCCCTAACAGCTCGCGATGCTGTTACAACCGCATGATCATTTTTTATAGGAAACTTAGTTTTGTCATCTCTATAGAAGAATGCGGCACTCTTGTTGAGTGTAACGAACCCATGCAACTCGCCACAGAGGGAGGTCACCAAACACCAATCCTCTTCATTGTCTCTCACAAGACTTCTACAAGCCTCTGCGTCCAATAAAGGATTTGTGACTTCCTCACTCTTGTCGATATACGATGGTGTAGTGGGGCCAGCATTATGAACTGCTAAAATTCTTCGTTGCATTCTCACTAAAACATGTCTCAGTTCTGCAATTATTTGATAAACTCTACATCGTTTTTCTCTTTCAGGTATAAAAACAGGTTCATCTGAAAATGCATTATTGGTGTACAGTAAATTGTTTCCAAACAATTATGTTATATCAATTTTATAAATAATCCTTGATAATATAAATAGCAGAAGAATTAAGTAGTAAAACAGAATAATCAGTCTATTCACTAAGTTGAGAATCATGTTCTATCATACATATTAAGTTTTTGTCACAATAAGAAAGTATTGTTCATTGATTCTGTGGATAAATATGAATGAATGCTAAAAACCACTTCTAATTGAACCTTCAAAATCAGTACCAACATAATCTGAAAAATATAACCTTGACTGATTCGACTTTCTTTATTTGATGAGCTCACTTTTCTTGGTGCTGGACTAAGAAATATGAATAAATGTTAGCTTTTTAGCACAATATACCGGTGATAAAAATAACTTAAGACAAATAATAAGTAATAAAAGCTGCATTTAGTAATAAATATTCTTCGTTTGATTAACTTTCTGTACATTAAAACATATCTGACATACATAGCTGCTTCCAGAATCATTTCTGGAGTCGATCTTCCCTCATCATTCCTGATTACTTCAACTTCTGTACTTTCATCTACTCTGTTATTGTCAATTTCTGAGCTGCAACATGCACCTGACGTCCAACCTTCTGATGTGTTATCTACACTGTTGTCCTGAAGTGGAACTGCTATTGGAATCTCATAATTTGGCTTATTCAGTTTTTTAGGTAGTATTTTAAAATCATTTTTATGTTTGATGACTGCTGATGGCAATTTTGCATCTGTGAAACTTGATTCTGGTTCTTCTAAATCTAGCAAGGCAAACGCTTTCTCTGTTTTATCCGAGTTTTCTTTGCTCGGTAACATGGTATCATTCGTTATTTGTTTCTGCGGAATAAAAATGATTACAAACATATAGTTAGTGAGTAGGTGGCTACTAGAAAGTTAAAAAACTAAATCAGGCTCAAGACAAAAAATAAAACAGAAACCACATGTGTGATTACAAAAATTGATTAATTAATAAGCTAATTTGTCAAACTTGGATCACCTAAGTTCCTGAATCACAGGCTCCATGAATGGGAAGATAGCTTTAACAAAAACTGGGTTGTGATAATTAAAAATCGATATATTTGTTAGTCAATATTTTCAATTAACACTCATTTCAATATATCGAATGAATATTATATTTGTAGCAATCCTCACAATACCAGCTGTATGTTCTAAAAGTCGACAGCATTCATACCAATAATTCATGCAAAATTGAAAATATTTGTCTAATTAGGTCTGATTGATCTGTATCTATGTTTAAAAAAAACGATAATCAGAGCAGTCTGGTTTTCATTCACAAATTTTAATGTTTCGGTAAATTCTAAGTTGAAAATATTTTTCTACAAGTACCGTAATATTTAAGAATCATTTTGCTTCGTTACTTCAATTATATGAAATTGTCCTACAAATCATAACTTGTGTTAAACATCAAACAACCTTACACTAATATTTTGCAAACTAGAAGATAACATTAATTCAAGACATTCATAATCAAGCTCAAAGCATCGAAGTGTGGAGCTAACTGCAATAAAGATCCCAAACATTAAGTATATTAAATATCTTGTCAAACCTAATTTTAGCATCCTCTATTTCTACAAAGAACATTCCTAAAGCACTCTATCTCACTGTGGGACTAAATATTGTTCCAAGATCAGTTGGAGGTGGATGATTGTCAAAGTCGTTCTTATCTTTTTCACTATTGATGTTGAGATATTGAATATTGGTAGAAGAAGATTTTCCACCATGCGTATTATCCGAAATAGAGAAAAAATCTGCATCTTCAATTTCTCTACCAAAAGCCATTGATGGATCGACAACAAATACATTGTTGCTTCCTGTCGATTTAGCGCTGATTGGACTTAATGGACTAACAGGTGGAAGCTGATTTACCCAGCTAACTTTCCGATCATTGTATGCCTTGAAGAAAATATTCAAATATTTCATTTCAGGGAAAATTCATAAAAATGCTAATTTTTTCATTGAAAATATTATGATAAATTTATTAACTTAGGATAAGATTTTTATAATTATCCCAGTGGGAAGGAAAGATGATAATGAGGCCTAATCCTATGGTGTTTTTTTTTCAGTTACCAGTTCATGTTGGGTATGGATGAAAATAGTTGTATCACAACCTGAATTGAGTTGTGGCAGATTATCACATCCTGGGTGTAATCAGTTGGATATGATGTGTCACACAGTGTCATGATTGTTAGGATTGTGGTATTTTCAAAACGTAGCCATTTCCTATATACATATATTAATGTCAGCTTGTTCAGAGACTTGGTTAGAGATATATGTCAGAGCATCTCATAAAAATGTTAGCAATTCAATTTTATGAAACTGATTTCTGCTCATGACATACCAGCTGACATAACACATAATTTTTGTAGATGTAATTCATCGGTCAATCTGAGTTAAAAAAAATTTATATTTCTATCTGCTTAAAAAACTAGTAAAGTGCACATTCTATGGGAAACTTAAATTATCAAAGAACTAAATAATAAATTGATTTACCAACATCCCATCATGACTGGACTATTAATAATATGCATGTGTTACATAAGATAATAAATACCGCATTTCCCTGTGCTGCGTATGGACCTCACAAGCAAACGAGTTGAGATAATGTCAAAGGGAAAGTTGATACATTGTTAATAGCTATTGATAACATTACGATAAAGTTTAATAGGTTGGAGAAAGTGCATGTGGTAGTAAGTTTGTGAAACTGAATACATTAATAGTTGAGAATTTTGTGAACTCTGGGTATAAAATGTATGAATGGATATTACCATATTAATGTCATTTAGGAATATAAAAATGAATTCACTATCCGTCCAAATTTTTTTCCAACAATACATAGTAACAAAATTTCTACCATATAAACATGGCTTGCAAAGTGCAGATTTAATCTCTGCATGTTGAACATTGTTGGTATGTTTCGTCCCAGTCAATCACATGGTTCTCAAGCAAGGTCAAGGATGTTAAAATTAAGGACATGGGGGAAAGGGCCTCATTGTCTAACAAGATGACACATGTTCAATTAAATACTGGCAGTGGCAAGTGACAATAAATATCAATACTACAGAACGTAATATTGACCATTGTTCCACTCACTAAACACTAAACTTCAAGATGAAAAATTATCTTACTATGATTACCAGATTATTTAAACACTTTATCATCTATGTGAATACGATTTTGTATATTGATTTCTTTGTATAAGACAATAATTATTGAATATTGTAAATCAAAACTCCTGAATGCTAGAGTGCTTAATCATTCTAAATGAAAGCAATGTCAGATGGAAATTAGTGAAGCAATTGAAAGATATGAAATGGAAATATTGAGAAAATAATAAGAGATTTTAAAATATGTTAAATGTAATTTGAGCATAAACTAGTGCTTTTTGAGATATTTGAAATCTGTAGGATAGAAAAACATAACGCAGAAAGTCTAAAAATAAAGCTTGATATATCCAACAAAAATTTCTAAATATAGAACACACTTTATCGGTCGATAAAAATGAGAGAACCTGCTTATTATGAATGAAAATTAGAGCTTCAAATGGTTGCTGATCGGCAATACAAATAAGCAAACAAATCAAAGCTGATGGGATTGCGTACCGGAAAAGCTCATCAATGTGTAAACATTCTTAAAACTATTTTCCACGGCAGAGATAAGGATTTTTACGCTTATTTCGGAAATATCGGCTGGCCATCTAGACAGATTGAATCTTATTGTCAATATGCCTGAACACCCAATAATGTAGAGCTTCACTGCGATGCCATACAGGAATAATTTGCACAATACTTAAATATTAAGAAATGAATGCAAACCATTTGACACCAAATTCCTCCATGCGAATCATGAAATAAGCCATGGTTCTAAAATGCTGTGGTAATTTTCATAATTTCGCTTACACAAGAACAAAAAGTCTTAGAACACTGAAGTCTTCCATTTCAAGTGACAATAAAAAATAAAATAACTCTCAAACCATCGTTGATGTAAGATACCTTGATATCTGTCTTGCTTCCACTGGATGAGTTTGGCCTCTTAGATAATGCTGTCTCAGGTCTTGGCCCGATTTTGAATCCATCATCAGTTTCATCTGAATCATCATCATCATCATCATCTAATTCTTGAAAATCTTGCATCGATTTTAAACCTAGAATTATGTTGAAAAGAATAATTATTATCTTTTGTTGCCATAATAACAATCATATATATGTGATATCCATATAATTCCTGAAATTTACTTTTCAATATATCAGGCAATCTCAGTACTAATATCACTGCCTAAAAGCTATCCTATGGTACCCAAATAATGAGAATTGAAATGAAAAATATATACTGTTGATGATGATAAGCACTGCTTGTGTGGTTTGCAGTGAAATGGATGCCATGAAACAATGGAAGTGTTATAAACACAAGGGAATACTGAACATAAAGTAATATGATATTGTTTAAAATCTATTTAAAATAAGTTAGCATGACAACAAAATATACTACTTCTTGATTTCTATATTACTTTGTCAAATGTACAAAACATTTAAATCTAGTTTTATTGATATAGCATACACTTGAATAAAACAGGCCCAAAACAATGCGTACAATAAAGATAAATATTCAATCAAAACAATAGAATTTTTGTTCTGTCATAATTTTTTAATTTAAATAAAATTTTCAAAATAGTGGTTAGATATGTCAAATTTTCCTCTGTAAGATTTAACATACACCATGACTATGTTATACAGTAAGTTATAGACAGTTGAAACCACATAGACCATTGCCATTCAAAATAATTCTTAGAAAAATTGACGTCGACCATGAGATTGAGTTGTAAATTCAGTTTATTATCTGATTTTTCCAAGTACTTTTTTAAACATAATAAATTCTCAATCCTCTGAACTAGTTTTTCCTGCATTCCTTTTTGTAAAAATCACCTGATCACTTCGTTAACCACATAACGATAGGTCATTAATCAACAATGACATTCAGATATAAATTTGAATATTTCACACAGACTAAAACCTTGCAACTACATGAGTAGCATGAAATGGCGATTTGTTAGGCCGGCATTGACGTCAAGCCTCGATTACATTATAAATAAACATAAACATTGATGTTGTCTTATGTTTATATAACTGGAGAATAGAATGCATTTCAGGCATGTCAAAATAATACTATCAAAGAATGATAATCTTTAGAAAAGTCATACATTCAACTAATGGCGGTAGCATCAAAATCAGTAAGTTTGTAATAAATCAGCAAAGTAATTTTGTTTACATGGTCCATGCGACAGACTAAACCTATTTGAAACACCTCAATTTCATAATAGAAAATCACATGGTATGTCAATGTCTATTATTTAATTTAAAACCTATCAGCAATTTATTTATAAAAGCAGCAAAATCTTACAATTACCGGACTTGTCGTCTAAATTTGGGGGTTACTACTGATTTTAGGTATTGCATGAAATAAATTTTCAAGATCTCCTGACTTGAGATTGTTCTCTCAATACTCCACAATAATAATTTGAAAATCATGAACTTTGTACATTATGAAGAAGACTAGGTTTCGAGATGTTTCTTTTAAGTGTACTATGTTCCGTGCTATTTCACAAAATAGTACGGGAATAAGTTAAAAAAGAGCTACTAAAATTTTTATAACATACATGACACCGTTTGAACATGATGTTAACACTTGCGTGTCATGAACAAAACTAACTTGCGCGGCTCGTTTGGTTATGGTATTTAAAATCGTGCCTAATGAGTTTTTGCGGCCATTCTGGAAGTGATTTTCTGGAGATTGTTTATTATTTTCATTGACACCAAACTCATAAAAATTTGGTTTCACAATTGTCATAGGTCATTAAAATCACATTAACCAAGTCAAATTCAACTTGATTACGTCAAAGTAGATAACAATTTAGGACATTCATAAACATGGCAGCAACCAAGGTAAATAAATTGAAGGTCAAAAGATCTTGATTGTTGATCCATACTATTTAATTTTTACTGTATAATGGCCATTCAACAGTCTGCAATCGTTCCAACCTCCATTACACAGTTCAGGTTCAAAAAGAGAGATACCCAAAATATTGATAAAAAATTTCAAATTAATTTACATTTCATGAAAAAAATTTGAAAATTGTACGAATTTCTGTTTTTCTGAGGTAAATTGTCTTTGTTGTCTTGTAATATATGTCATGAAAATTATAAAAAAAAATTCAGTTGAAAAAAAAGGCAAGAAGATAGCAGAGTTAGGTGTTGTAATTTGGATTCAACAAGAATCTTTCCCCACAAACTATTCCACATCTGCTATCTACTTCAACCAAAAATATGCAATTGGTTTAACATGAAGGCCCATATAAAAAATTTCATTGTAGTGTTAAGTAGAGACGGCATCCTAAATTACAAATAAATTAAGGAATTCATGTTCAATTCAAATCATGGCGAGGCAAGCATCTAAACAATATAATCCTTGGCGCGTGTGATGTGATGTAGGCACGCCAATACTATCATATAAACACACTAAGCACCTTTGTTTAGGGCCAAACAATGAAATTCCACAAGGACGTTGGTTAAAAACAACACAATTAATCGCCCTTCTTGTATGGAGTATACTTGGCACCTTAAAAATGCGACCATTGATGTACGTAGCATCCTAGCCTGGATTACAAAGCGTCCAAGCGAATAAATTACAAGACGTGTATACGCTTTTGTTTAGACTCGATTTCATTTCAATTGAACAAAGGCTTCAGTGGTAAATTCTTTGTCGAGTATCTGCGAAAGTACCTTATTCTAGAAAAGTGCGCTTCAGATACTTCGAAAGCGTCATTACATGGTATAAAAACACAAACTCAACCAATATTTTTGTATTCAATCCATAACTCGTGGCCAAAATATTGCAATTTCATTACGATAATTTTTATGGTAAACGATAAAAGAAAACGATAGTCACCGAACTCAAGTCGTGTCCAAAACAAGTATTTGTCTTTCCTGTAAACGTTGCTACAGCATAACGACAAATAACAACGTAGACAATGAACAAAGGCGAACACACACTTTCAACTACTTCGCAAAAAACACGTGATGTTTAACACACCGGATATTAAATAGCTAATACGAATGCGAAAAAAAGTCCCGGTCTAATTGTCCACAATGTCCAATATTGGCCTAATTTATTCTAGAAATCAATCACGATGCAAACGAGAAAATGTACCGGTATGTTCGTTTTTGTTTATATTGGTTGGAAACGAAGGACGATAAATTTATATCACGAGTCACAACAACGTTAAAAGATATTTGCGGTATGGACCTATTTAAAATTGAATCCCACCAGTTTAGAATAATGTATAGTTGATTTCCTAAAATAATAATCTGTTCTGTAAGGTATAAGGGAAATTAATATCACGCTACGACCTTACCAATCCTCAATCAAGATTTTAGGCAATTTAAATTGCATTAGTTTTCCAATTACTATGGAAAAAGTAGGCCCCAGATACCACACTGGAATCTATAAAATACTAACTCGTTAAACCATTATTATTATTATATTCCAACTACTCACCCAAACCCCATAACAAAGAACGTTTATCACGTGTTGACATTTTCCAGCGCGTTTCGTTGTACAATTCTTTAGGAGCCTATGACGACGTTGTTTCTATCACATTCGTCGTTTAATTGAACGAAATGAATCACCACGTCTTCCCTCTTATATTCTACTAATAATACCCTTATTAATATTGAGTATTGTTGTCACGTCAAATAGACAGGTGTTTTATAATTGCTGTTGAGTAAAAAATCTTCTGCTGAGGTATGAATATGATTTTTTAAGCTTAAAATTTTAATTTTTAATGTTTTCATTTCGTCACATGAAAAATTCATTGGGGTGATTTTCTTGAGTTACAAAAATGCGTAGTTCGTTTAACGAAAGACAAAAATAAAGCAGTATAATTGCTATAATAATAAAAACAACAAGACATAGATGAATTTAGCACGGAGCACAATAATAAAATACCAAGAAGGACATCGACATGCGTATGTTCACTATTGTCTAAAACTAAATCATTTGAAATATGAAAATAACTAGAACTGAAAAAGATAATTTTTTTCCCTAAATTGGTCGGAACAGTTTCCATACATGTGGAATGCGAATGAATTTGAAAGGAAAATAAGGCAATGCATGTGATCACAATTATAATCTTTGAAAGTATGCGAGGTTGTGAATATGGTCCATAACCATAGGATTGGCACAACAGATAACCTTTTGATGTTATTTATTCCAGATAAACTCGACAAACCCCATTCGAACCTACCTAGATTAGAGTATTACGAACGGCGAACACGAAATGCATTTTTAAATCGATATTTGCGGTGAGAGAAATTTATAATATATATCATAAAGAGTATATTATTGCATGTTAATTTACACATTAAAAAAACTATAATTCGAAATTTATGTTTACCAATAAAGAGATATTTTATTAAACAATTTACGCAATATAATTACTCTGATAAACGAGTGAGTTTGACATTTATTTTAATAGTGCGTTTGCTACAGGTCGATTTTGTGTAATAGCATCGACATATCTTTTTTTAACTCGCTACATATCGATCGGATCTATTTTATCCTGAAAGCACATTGTAAGATTGAGTTGTTACCTTATTAGAATGAGAACGATACAACACCATATGTTAAGAATCGGTAAATCGAGTATTTTTGGATTACCGGCCAGGATTATCTTGCAATTAATGAAACAGAGATTTGTGTTTCAGCTGGACTGTTCAAAAAAGCAGACGTATGACGGCCTTTGGCGCCCGTTCTCCTGCGATGACGGGAAACGATAACAATCCTTCCGTTGCATAATGAAGATTCAATCAATTTTTCGCAATTAAAGGCTTGAAACTGATATTCTTGGATTTAAAAGAAATTGTAATCATGTTCATATACATTTATAACAATTAGTCAAGAGTTCCGTCATTTTCTCTTCTATATATATCTACAAAAATCATAGTTTATTAAAATTGGGACAAAAAAAGACATCTGGTCAAACAAAGCGCAATACTTTTACAGCAGGTCAAATTTATAGAGTTTGTGATATACCTGGCAAACGAGTTATATCTGATATTCATTGTGTTGTGACAATACAACGGACAGTCAATATCTCTTGATTGACAAAACTAAATGCCGGAATCGATTAACGATCAAAACATTCAATCAACCACAGAATAATCTGTATATAGTTTCGGGTGTAATACTACTAAAATATGACAAAGAAGACATACAAACCATCACAACGAACAATGACGAACTGTGAAATATGAATGGAAAAGATATTTATTATATATATTTAAAATGTTATTCTATGATAGATTGATATAATTTATTCCTGATTTTAATTGTAAAAATTACGGTTTTATTTTGATACACTTCAATTCGGAATTTGAAGAAAATTAAATTCTATAAACATTCGAAGAACGGAAGAAATTGCTTCGAAGATCGAATAAATCTACCTAGTCCTAGACAGATAAATAAAAATTTGCAGAGTCATTTAAGGTAAAAATCAGAGCGTCCGGCGACATTACGAACTTTCCGCATTACTCAAGCTAATCAAATCACGTCAAAAAACTTTGATTTGACAAAAATTTACGGTTTTCGCACATCAAAGTTGATATTTGTCGCACAAAATTGCCAAAGCGATTAAAAACTCATTAATCAAACGTTAGACATGTTTTTTCGTCTAGATATGTTGAATTTTAAAAATCTTATCCTGGATTAATGACTTTTTGACGATTATTGTGTTTTGATTGAAGACCGATAGTTGGTTCCGATACTTCATTATTTTTCGATTTGTTCTTCGAAAAGATTTTATCTTTAGGAAGTTAAATTTACAGAAAATAAAACTGAGTAAACAACTTCTGCACACCAAAAAAATTAATGTGATCGCCTATGCTGTCATTCCCGGTTCGATCCCTAGTTCAGGGGCGTAGCCTAGAATTCTCAAAGTGGGAGGGACGGGGGTAGTAGCGTTTGGGCCAATTATTTATACCATATCTATAAATTGCAGTTTACAGATATGGATAAATAATTGGCCCAAAAGCTACTATCAAATTTGCTACAGTCATACTTATTTGCGAAGCATACAATATATGTTTGCAATATTACGATTTACAACTATCACTAACCAGGGCGTCCGAAGCAGAAATTACACTATAGGATAATACAACATCGTCAGACACACTAATTCTATTGTCACAGCTGTTTTCGTCATCGAAAAAAAAAAACCAATACAATACGAACCATAAACAATATATTTGCCGTATGGTAGTCGAGTAAATATATTGTTTGAATTCATTTATTAGTATACTAGGGCAATCAACAAGTATTATTAGTACACAAAAACAAACATATTGAAAAGTTCACAAGCTTCACAGACTAAAGCTGAGAATTCCCAGAAAAAAAATTGATACATTTTCATGTGAATACCATATCAGAACATGTACCAATGCCTAAATTTTGTCTGATAAGGTAGATAGAACATGAAAGAGAATTAAATTAATTCAAAAATATCTTCTACAGATTTATCACGGAAATCTACGAATTACGCAGAAACCTTCTGGTTCAAAACATGCTCCTTGTGGGAATTTGTAAATGTCGTCATCAACAAGTTCATCGTAGAATGGCACGGGTTGGGGCGATTTAATTCGCTCTCTCGAAGCTGTATAAGATTTGTTACATAATTTCCATTTGGTGGGACTAAACTCATTAGGCTGTTTTTGACAATATTCAATTTGTTTTAATATACCATAGGCGTAAAAACAGTTATCTGTCTTAAATCATACCAGATTTCAGTTTTAAACTCGGCATAAACTTTTGCGCTTTGTCACTTGGTTAATACAATTAAATCCTGAGACATGTTATTTGAGTGACGTACCATTGGTTAAATAGAACCTAGTTTCGTCCGGGATTCTTAAGATTATCACGGCCACTTGCGATGTGTTTCACATTTGGGTGTCAAGAAAGTGTTTGCCAACACATATTATGTCGTAAAACATTTAAGTAGAACGCAGTAAATTGTTTGTGGTACTTGTATAACAAAAAAGCGGGATTGAGGAACTGGAAAATTTAAAAAGTTATGAACACTTAAATCTCTCATGAGCAAATAAATACCCAATGGGACCATCAATTATTTCCTGTATTCTTTCCTGTAATAGGGAAAATCAATCGATTGCACACGCGCATACATCGTTAATAGTCGCTATTAAAGCTAGACAAGATTTTAAAATGGCGATTGTCATCCACGCGCTTTCAATTTTGAAATTTAATTTACCGGTATTAATTTTTAATGAAAACGAAGCTAAAAAAAAAGTTATGCAACAACAAAATTTGTGAAGTTTTAGAATAAATTCAAGTAACAGAATCGGTAATGACCGCATATTCATATTTTTCGCATTGAAAGTTACATGGGTAACTAACTGAAACTGTATTTCTAGAAACGTTTCACGTGACCTGTTTCGTATCGAGATCACGAATGTTCTAGATGACTGGCTGATAATAAACGAAGCGATCAGGTACTATTTATCGCTACCCCGCGCGAGTAGCACCTGCACAATTAGAGACGATGTGGAAGGTTACGAAGCAAAATTGTACAATCACTGGAATCAGGATTGTTACACATACAAACACCATGCCAAAGTCCGACGCATGGAGAGGTATTCCGTTTAATTATGTATCAGTTCGTTAACGAAAAGATGACGCGCTCTTTATTACTATAATGCAGCCCATGAGCGAAGCGACATAGAAACTTTCCGAAAATAATAGGGCAGACAAAGTTGAATTGCGGGGATCGTCATTGGTTCGCTGCGCACGATTGCTGCCGTTGAATATTTTATGGGAAAGTGGAGACCGCACCTTCTGTTTTCAGCCGACCCCACTAAACTAAAACACATTAGATTAGTGTGGCAAAGTACGGTGCGTCTCAATTGTAAATGAAAGTTTCGATTACATATGAGAAAAATGGATTATTCACTCCACACTTGACAGTACTTAACCTAACTGCAAAAACTTAAAGGTACACTAGCTGTGTGTTAAAAAAATATGTCATATAAAGGACGATGGTACATTTTATCATGGTCCATGCTTGATCAAACATATTTTTTATGAAGAAACTAAAGTCGGAAACTCCAATAAGTCAAGCATGATAAAAAAGTTGCAAATTGCTATAATCATTGAGATTTTTGCTCATTTTTCATGCTGAATAAATTTTGCATTATATGTGCATTGAATATTCATGTATTCATCAACATTTTCTTACGTCTGATGTATTTTAAAACATAGACAAAGGTTATTTGTGTTGTTCATGAGTAGTTTCCAGAAAGGAGATCAGGTAAACAGATTTGGCCACAAACGCATCTCTTAATCCATTATGTATGTGATATACGGTATGCCTAAATATTTCAGCGAAACAGAATTTTAGTAAAACGCCTACATGAATGATGTTTTGAATGTCAACAAGCAAGTAACACCAGTGTTTGCAAAGCACCAAAAATACTCGTGATTCGCCTGAAAATATGGTTTATGTTCTTAGAAATATTGTGAGCATGAATTGTAATGAGATGGTGCGCTCAAGATAAATAGCATCATAATCATAAAATTACAAGGTTGATCGTCTGAAAAAACACATTTAAATGTATAGTTAAAGAGATACTATATTTGAGTAAACTTGAATTGCACGGTTCAACAATAAAAAATTTAAAAAAGGCAACCACCCAGAAACTAATATTGTAATGTTACCTGCTTCTTCCATTTTTCTCTGTGTGTCTGTCCGCCTTCCAGAAAGCAAAACAGGTGAGGGTGTTTCAATGTCTTGAATTGATGGAGTTTTCTTCTTTCGATGGGTATCTGAAGCTACGATGGGGTTGTTACTTGTTTTCACTGTTATGATATTTGGTTGGTTTTCATCATCAGATTCGATGGCAAGATTGTCATAGCCATTTTTACCTGTGAATTTAAAGAAATTATTTCAAACTCAGTTCAAAGTCAAAAGTATAAATTCGCTTTAAACATCATTGCACTTTCATAGTTTGATAGGATTGTGATTATTTTAACTCATTTATACTCAAAAAATTTTGATTATTTTCAAAATTTGTAAGAGGATCAATTTCAAAATTTGACTGTCAGTTAAAAATAGTAGCGTGCATAGCATACAACATAGCAACTATGTTTTTTTCATATAAATACAACAATTTATTTCAAATGAATAGCGAATGATATTACTTGCCATGATTAAATTTATTATTTGTATTAAAACTATCAATATTCTTTTTTTCCTCTCGAAGTCGATTGGCAGTAGAAGGTCGTGATCGTCCAGCAGAACCTAATCTTGGTTGGCCTGTAGGCTTCATCATCATCTGTTCCTGCTTTCTTCGTCTCTGATGATGTTCTTCTCTATTTTTCTGCAAAAATATTAATTGAATTAAAATTTATGAAAAAAAAACACTGTCTTGAACATTATAAGAACAGCAAGTCAGTTCAATGTTTCAAATGTGTGAGTGTGGTTGTTGAGTGGATTACGTATGGAAATATAAAGACATACTTGTTCTTCGAGTTTTCTGTCTCTAACCGATTTTGTGCTCATAGCAGATGTAGGTCTCATGTTGTCATTGTCCATGATACTGAAAAAAAATAATAAAAGTTTCAGAATTTTAACCACAATATTTTTGACCAATTTCTTTGGAGTAAAAAAATATTTCCTGTTGCACATAGCATATTAAATATTTCAGATTTTTGAATATTTGAGAATTTTTTTAATTAACAAACATTGATAAAGATTTTCCATTGACATAATCTCTTGGTGACGGATGTTGATATATAGGAAGCCTCTTACATGACAAATGTCTAATCAAAGGCTTTTATGACCATGCCCTGCCTTCAAATAATCAACAAAACAATCATCCCATGCTATAAAAATCATTTTTTCAACATCTGTTTATTATCAAACCCTGAATAATTTACACAACTAACAAATGACAACTGTCACTCACCTTCCAGGTGGGGCTTGATTTGACCAAGCTGGTGTCGATCTGTGGCTGGTAGAGAAATAATAAATTAGTATTTGCATTCAGAATAAAGTTCATGACTTGTGGCGAGGGTGAATAAACCGAACAGAAGAATTATCAACAAGAAGGATTCGTCAAATATCAGTGATTGAACTGTAATAAGTAGAACAAATTCTACAGACCTCTCAAATTGAGATGAATCATTCTACTAGTCGTTTATATGAAAATATGAGTATCTGCCTGGTGATACTGTCACTTGAATCACGAATATATGCCGAAAAAGCAGCCTAGTATATGCAGGATTGTTTACTTAGATGCCATCATTTAACAAACTGAGAATTCACCATTTTTGTTGCACTTTGTTTCTGGTTTTCCCCTATTTTTTATGACCCGAAATCATAAAAATTGAAAATGAATGATAAACGAAAAATACAAAATATAAAAAATTTAATGAAAGGTACCTTTCTAGGCCTCCATACATTTTTCTTGTTGAAAATGTTGCTTACACCTCTTCAACAAATTATTTTAAAATAAATTAGTATATTTGATGAATCTTATATCCAGTACTATTCCTTACTACGTCGATTATAGCATTTACACATATATTATATTAACAAAAAATTCCACAAAAATTATGATCTGTTCTACGTCTAAAACTAAAAATAAACATGAGATGCTTTATTTTTAACCTCGTTCCTATATAAAATGTGGGATAGAATGTTGTCATTACTAATGTGATGATGCTTATTGGCCCCTATTGGTATTATTCATAATACATAGGCTATTAAATATATGAAACAAAGGAAAATTTAAAAGTCAGTTTTAGTTTATATAAGTTAAAAATTTATTAGTTTTTATTCATATATCACTGTAATAGTTAAATGGCTAATAGATTAACAATAGTTTTTACAAACAAGATATAAGTTTCTTGCTGAATGTTACTATGTCAATGAGATATAGGGAATTAAACCATGGTTAGGGGTGCCAATTTGATATGCGATCTCACTTGCTTAACGTGTGAAATTTAGTGAAATTTTAATATTTTATTATTCTGAATTAAAAAAAGTAAACTAAATGTAATCATTTTCGTTGAATATACTATTTTTTAAATTGGAGCGGTATTTATGCGAAATTTTAATTGTATAATTAGACATATACAAAGAATTGATCCATTTAGAAAAATTGGAAATTAAATTCAAAATAGAACTATATTCAGATATTACAACAAAAGATATTATTAAGGCCATTTGAAATATTGCTGATGTCATAACCATGAGCTATCTGACACAATCACACATGTGCAAATATTGAAAGAGCAAACAAACGAACCAGTTTCCTGAAATTTAAAGACACACGAAGAAAGTCTAATATGCCGCACTAATCAAATCAGAACAATCATGTTCAGTAATGCCAGCTACTATTTTATAATGGTGACTTATTTTTATATTTTCAAATTCTTTTTTGGAGAAAAATTTCACATTTCAATAATGTAAAATTGTTTCTTTTTGTGACATAATTACATTCTTACTGTGTTATTGTATTCGAAACTCAAAAGTTTCCAAGATTCATGATACAATGAATTATAATATTGAACCATTCCTCCTGGGAGGCTTATTAACACACATATTTAAAAATGACCAATTTTTGGCCCTCTCTGCATTGCACAAACCCGACCGACAACAAAATGAAACCCATAAATATTATATTCATAAAACTCTACCTTTACAGTACCCTAATACAGTAATGCATCTGTACAAAAACTCTAGCTGGAGAAATCTCCAAGTCCTGAAGTTATTTCACAGTACAGCTGATATACCGGTAACTTATTGCGGAAGCGCTTGACTTCAATGCTTTTGAGGTTTGAACGCCAATATCAAAGGGGTAGACCCCAAATCTTGACTATAATGGACTGTGTTTTGATGTAGGTATGTATACTATAATCTGATTCACTGCTTAATGTTGAATAATACACTCTGTTATAATCTGATAATAGACTAACCTTAAATAAATTTATTGGGCTGATACACTTCGCACAATCTTACCGGTACAGTGATAAATTCAATAACAGCTTGATATCTGGATATACAGATACCGGTACCGGTAACGTTCAGACGTTTTGGACTAGAATACTACTGTACTAGGAGATTGATTTTTGGAGTAAGGGAAACCTCCCAATTTAGTTTATTAAGCCGGATATAGGCTATCTGTAAATATTTAATAAATCTGTGTGGTCCAGTAATCTGATATCATTTATCAGTTTATTCAGTTATTGGAGCAGAAGGTAAACTGCTTATCTGCCCTTTCTAGTAATTTAATATCTGAATAATCGAACTTAGCAATATAAGGCCAGTATCGCGCATGATCTCAATCAAGTTTTGCGCCTGGTATTTAGGAAAATCAAACGGCTATATGGATACTCAGGCTTTTGAAGCCCAGATAAACCTGTAATCCAGTACGGTATCCCAGTAACGCGAACCAAAGCCCGAGCGAGTCGACGCAAACTAGTGGCCTGAACGCGAGCGTCGGTCAATACCATTGCGAAGTGAAATCTTTGTTTATTTATTGTATTCGCTTTTTTTGTATCGATGAGGTGAAAGGTCAAAGACGCACAGGCTGTTGTTGCGTGTTGCTATGCCAACGTCAGATGAGATAAAGTTATGAGACTAGTGTTGCCAGAAATACCCACTCTACAAAATGAAACATTTTTCCACCCTGGAAGACACGAGTTACTTGTAATTATTATTATATTCATAATTCAGTTGAAAACATCCGCTACACGCATTAACACATAGGCAGGTATCTGAAACAAATAACTGACTAACAAATCCCACATGCGACATGAACTGAAAATTGCACGAGAGGCATCGAACATGGTGCGTTATATCTGTGATTTTCAACCGGCGTTCCGCGAAACACCGGTGATCCATAGATTTTACATTTTACATTTTGTTATGCATTGTCTCTGGGTGATCCGTGAGGCATATTCCCTTGGCATTCCCTTGACAACAAAAAGTAATCCAAATTCATCAGGCACGTAATTAGTTTATAAGAAGATTCTGTTACATGCGATAAACGTTTCCACAGGAACGGACCTCCTAGTTTATGTCTTGAAACGATGACTAAACAGCAAAATGCAGCTGCTTGGATATTCGAGAACAAAATATTGATTTTGATACAGTTTGCATAAGTCAGCTTGTAGAATACTCTTAAAAAAAGCAATAAACTTAGTGAAAGGTAGAAGTAGGCTACACGGAGAATTTTTCAGGCGAGAAAGATTTATGTCTAAATTTTAAAGACACTGATAAAAACTGACAAATGGCATATAAAACCAAAACCATAAGTCCGAGAGGCTGCCTAAATTTGAATTTCAAAGTATTGCTGATCGGTCATCAATATGTAATAATGAAAATCGTTCAAGACGATCTCTGAAATACCAGAAAATCGTTTTGAGCCTAATGGCACGATAACAAAAATATCACACTGATAACAAACCGAAAACCGTTGAAGAAGAACTACGTGTTTACCTTCCCTAAATCCCAGCCAAAATAGAGGATATGTGCCCATCTAAACAAACTCATAAACATATTGATATTACATTGCTATTAACGGCTATGAACAGCCAGTTAAATATTTCTCATTTGTATCACACGGTACTGTTCTCTGTAGTCATGAATTTGTTACGCCTTTTTACAACTTGAGTCATAAGCCATTAGTCTGGTTGTAAGTTCATTCCTACACTAAAACTGATCGAGATTGTTGGTTATTCGAATAGTTTCCACAAAATCGCTAATTTTCGTTTGGTGTTTCACAAAAAATTCTCGATCTAAAAGGTGTTCTGCGATTCGAAAAATGTTGAAAATCACTGCGTTGTATGATTGAGCCGCCTTATCTCTTTCCTCTATTATTTATTTACGGTGTGAGTGCTTCATCTTACATTAACACGAAACGCCCATAAATTCCGTTTCCAGCGCTAACGCATTAGTGTTGACTCACGTTTTGCTCAATTTTCATACTTTTCTGAGGCCGGAACAAGCCGTCTAATCATTGTGTTATTGCAAAATCTAGAACGAAACTTCTGGGCCCCAAATAACCTATGAAAGACTAAATCTTGAGCATAAAAATTGGCATTGAGAAAATCGATGACTTATAAAATAACTTCATCCTAAACTGATTGTTCTTTTCTTCAACACCAGTAATTTTTACCGAAGTAAAATTAATGTCATTCAGATATTGACATCATGATATTGATCGGCAGTTATATTTTGACTCTAGGTAATTATTATATATATTTTCTTTTCGTTTTTTTCCAACGGCATGTTTGGCAGGTAAGAACATTAAATATTCAGATTGGAATAACATAATTCACAACGTCTACGTTTATCTATTCCTGAATAGTGTCCAATTTTAGTAAAATTACAATATTAGACGCCGTCTGTGAATATTTTCCTCTCTCTCTCTTCCAAACCCATTCGTCAATATCATCATTTTGTCGCGGTTGTGCAAACATAACGAGTCTGGAATTCGTACAGCACCTATCGCTCTTTTATATATATATAGAATATAGGGTGCTCTCGTGGCGTATAATTAAAAAGATAATAGATAGTCAGACAGTGTCTCCTTTTCGAACGCAACTCAATTGAAGCAAACTACACTCTCAAAGTCACGTCTGATAAATTTGCTTGTTACTCATTGTAATTAAGTAAAGTTAAACAATCACCAAAAATCAAGGTCTTTGGAGTCCGCTATTCTTTTTATAGGCTAACCCGGTAAGTAACTTGTCCACAAACCGGGTACACAAAGCGCACCAAAATATCGAACGTTAAGCAAACAAACTTACTTTAAAGTTTATATATATACTTTTTTCCCCTTTTCAACCAATTTCTGAACTTTTGAACTAACTATCTAGTAAATTACTGACTCCATAAAATAAACAGTGCTGATGATTATATTTTCATGGGTAATACAGTGCGAAATCATTCAATGAACGTGCAAATGTCAGAAGCTGAAAATCTATCAAGATAAATGAAAAGATTTATAGGTCATTTTTTCCAGGTTCTAGTAAATATTTGTCATATAGTTTTGCTATCAAATGTGTTTGTGATAGTTGTTTCGAGTCGTGAGATGAGTTTTGTTTGTAAGTGGTGTAATATTATAAAGTAAATTGAGTAATTTGAGTAAACACATAGCTTCCAAATGTGCTAAACGTGCAAAGCTGAATATTGAAATCGTCTTTCGTTAACGTAATATGTCCTCAATGTATTTCAGTCGACATTCTGAAAAAATAATTATCAGTCGTGACAAAGAAAAAATGGCCGTGGTTAGGCGAGCTATACACTCATCTAGTAATAGCAGCAATACAGGCTTTGTTCAAATATTCTCTGTTTTAGACATAATTTTATTTTAAGGTTATGTAGATATTTCCCCATTAGATTTGAGCATGTATATTCTTTTTTAAAATAATGTTTCGTCTTGAAAACACACAATATACAATAAGTTCAAGTTGTTATCCGTCTCAAAGAACAAATCGTTCAGGTAGAGTTTACACCAATTCCTTCTTGAATCAGTAATTCATACTTGCCTTATACGAGCCCATTTTTCCTAATCCAGACCCAACACTATCTCTTGCTTTAGATCTTAGCTTGTTCAGAGCTGATTCAGCCATGTCTGCTCGCTCTTCCGCGTCATCCAATTCATGTTGTAGTTTTCTGTATTTACCCAAATTTAGATTTGCCTGTTCTTCCTGAAATAAGTTAATTATTTGTTATAATGAGGCGCTAATGTTCTGAAATCATATATTTGTTTTGTGTTCACATTCTTTAGGTTAATTCTGAATTTGTTGTCTGTTTAAAGTAAAGTTTGAGTAATGTATTTCGGGAAAGTACCATCGAAGTATTATTATTTTTTATTTGTCACTATTGTAGTTCTCATATGCATGGTTCATAAATAATTGACATCGACGAAAATACAAAAGTCTATGAATGTCGTTAAAACATAAATAAGTTTTGCTACTGACCGCTTCTTCACATTGTCTCTTGTAAGTTTTGACTTTAACTTGAAGCTTCTCCACTAAATCTTGCATTCTGAGTAGATTTTTCTTGTCTTCGTCAGCCTGGTACGTGACCTCCTTATTGCGTCGTTCTGCTTTGCGTAACATTTTCGACGTCTCGACGTGACGCCTCTGCTCGGCGTCAACTTCGTTTTCAAGTTCTCTCACCTGAGCACGGGGAAATACAAAGTAAAAATATATCAAAACATTGTAATTTTTCGAATGTATACTAATTGGTATGATAGGTTACGATAATAGTCAAGACGCAAACATCACAATATAGCCATGTGCTGAAAATTAGAACGGCAGAATATGTTTACATGTCGTTTTAAAAAACCTGAAATCCAAAACAAGCTCCACAATGGGAACGGCGGAATGTTTTATCGTTAATTTGTTTCAACGGAATATTTCAAAATGCCTAAATCAAGAACAAGCTCCAAATACTACATCTAAATATTGATTTCATTTATACACAAATGTTTCTCATATGTTAATTCTGCGATATACTGGTGATATACTGTTGAATTCTATCACTTCACTACTGATTGTCGTACCTTGCCAATATAAAAAAAAAACTGTCAGAGAGCTTACATGTAGACTTACCCTAGTTTCAAGCTTTTGCACTTGTTTTCTACCTCCTTTCAACGCAACTTGTTCAGCCTCGTCCAATCTCATTTGAAGATCTTTAACCGTTTGCTCCATATTTCTTTTCATTCTTTCTAGATGAGCAGATTGATCCTGCTCTTTCTTCAACTCTTCCGCCATCATGGCCGCCTAAAATGTTTAATATGTACTTTAGTGCTTAGCTGGCGTAAGGAGTATGCTTGGACGCAGTCGGGGATCCGTATATTTAAGGTCGTTGCGATGATATATTTGTTCAAGTTTCACCGTCGTTTTTTTTTCGAAAAAAAAAACCTGCACTGTTTTCTTGCATACGAACTATTAATTCTATCTGTTACGCCTCCAAGGAATTAATTATTGTCTGGATGGCAATTCTGCATTTTATTGCATAAACTGAGTACCGCTGCAGTGGAGAACTTTCATGAAAAATGTTATACAACTAGTAGCTGCATCATATAATTTCCGTGCGTCGTGGTGGTGAAACAATATCATAGGTTTTTCGTGCTGAATACTCACGTCAGTTATAGCCTTCTTCGCCTTCTCCTCTGCGTTTCTTTGTTCTTGAATTGATTCTTCGACATCTGATTGCATTGTCTGTATCTCTCCCTCCAACTTTCGTTTTTGATTTATCAGAGCAGTATTCTGAGTGTGCAATAAATTTGCTCGTTCACTGACTTCCATCAATTCACCTTCTGCAAGTTTTCTGCCACGCTCAGCTTGTTCCAACCCGGCAGCCATTTCTTCGAGCTCAGCCTTGAATCGAAAATAAATATCAAAAAACGCCACAATAGATTGGAAATTATACAGTTCAAAATAGTTTTTTATAGTAACTTGATCATAGCAGACATACACCAATATATATTTTGATATATTACTCATAACATATGGATTGGATCGTAAATAAATTATTATTCTAATATATTTATAGTCTCAAGGAATTCTGCACTTTTTCTCAGATTTACTGAAATCAAACTTCACTTTCATCCACCAAATAATAATCTTGAAAGATAGCGATTTGAATGAGTCTACAATTTTAGATGAGAGCTAAATTTGTTAAAATTCAAAATATTTGTTGTCACAAATCCAAAAGGATGCCAGTTTTTTTTTTATTTGAAGCAACATTTCGAGTAATTCTTAATATTACCTGCAATAAATTTGCTCTACGTTCAGTAACTGCCTGTTGTTCTTGCATATCTTCAGATCTGCGATTGCCATCATCAACTAGCATTTGCAACTCCTAAAGTATTGAAATAATGTTTTGAAAGATCACAGCAGTCATAAAGCTTAGAAATGAGACATCTGAACATCTCCTTAGAAGGAATACCACCGAAACAAGAAAGTAAAGAAAACATATATATACGAAGTTAGTTAATTGCAATATATTGAGAATTTAGAGAATAATAGTTCATATTTTGCTCAATTTAAGCCGCATACATTTTGGGCATATTATATAAATTCATTACTACGAGTATAGCGACTTCCAATCGAACCTTATTAGAAGCTTGCATATCTCTCAATTGTCTGATGGCATCATGTGCTTGTTTATTAGAATGCGATATTTGCATTTCAAGATCGTTTATATCGCTTTCCATCTTCTTTTTGATCCTTTGAGCCTCAGATCTTGATTTCGATTCGGCATCCAGTGTTGCTTGCATTGATTCAATAGATCTTTGAGCATTACGTCTATAATGAAAGTATGTTGGACATTTTGTTTATTTACAAATGAAAAAGTTCGGATTTTTAAACTGGATAGATAAGTCATTGGTAGATAGAATTTTTCAAACATTATGTTCTGCGTATTCCTGTACTTTACTTCGAGCAATTGAAAATTTGATGGGGGATATAGTATCAAAGTGAAGCCAGTAAGGTTCATAGTTTTGAAAGCAGTGGTATTTTGAAATCAAAAATATGCGCTGATTAAAATGTAGACCGAGGCATTAATACCATGTCTCTATTCAATATGTCACAGTTATGTTATATGAATGGCTTTATTTTAAATAACCTGGCGTTATCAATTTCTTCATCCTTTTCGTGCAATCTGCGTTCGAAATCTTGTTTAATTTGCGCCATTTCAACTTGCAGTCTTAGAACTTTACTTTCTTCATTTTCTACTGCTGCCTCAGCTTCTTCAAATGCAGCCTAGAATAGGAGAGTATAAATAGATAGACAAAAATTTTTAACGTTCCGCTTGAAAATTCACTAGAAAAATACAGCGAGAGTTTGCACAAAACTTGCAGCATGTTGTACTCACACACACTCACGAAATCGAACACGGAAAGTACTGAAGCAAAATAAAAATATATTATGAAAAATATTTTGAGTTATTCCTGTTGCATTGTGCTACACAGTGGACTACTTTGTTTATATCCCGTCATTAGTGCATTACTGTGCTTTGCCTTAGTTAGTCTAATAGTGGTCCGATTAGGTTTGGCTATACTCAATGACTCAATCTGATTATGTTGCATGTTCTTGTGTTTAGGATAAAATGTGTTTTTAGTTTTTCAAAGCGATAATTTTGGTTATAATAAATAAACTGTCACAACAAGAATTACCCTAATTAATAAATCATGTGAATACACAGTAGATGATAGAAAAAGATCGTCATTACTTATCGATCTTGTTACTTATCGATCTTGATTTTACACGTGCATTCATCATATCTCGGACCAGAAGCCTATTTGGATGACATGCGGTGTCTCTATTGAGTCAGAGCGAAAGACACACGCCGCTAGATCGATAAGTCGGCGGTCTCTAATCGCTAACTCGTTATTGAATTGCTCTCGCAAGAGTGAAGACCATAACTACGGTATACATGTTTAGTAGGCTATACCTGTAATTCAGTCCTCTCGTGTTCCAATGATCTTCTTGCCTTTTCAAGTTCGTGAATACTTTTTCCTCCTTCCCCAAGTTGATCTGTTAAATCCGATATTTCCTCTAAAAAAAAAAAAATCATCTGATATTCGAATTAAATATTCGAAGTTTGCCACATCATCAGCTGAACATATGACAAACAGGACAATTTTGCAGATTTACATTAAAAAGGTTTTACCTTGTAAGTTCTTATTTTCACGTTTTATAGTTTCTAGAGCATCCAAAGCTTCCTCATAAGCATTTTTCATTTTGAATAATTCTGTAGAAAGACCTCTTGCTTCTTTTTGTGATTGTTCAAAATCTACCTGGATTTCTTCCGATTTCTGCTTGTGCTCAGCAAGTACCTGCAGAATGTTTCAATTAGGAGTTACTCAAGATAATTTGAATGCAATTAGAAAAATGATCATTATCGCTATATGCACGCTTCAACAATTGTTGAATTTTGGAAATTTGAATCAAATGTTTGTTAAGATACAAACCAAAATAACAACAAATTGCATTGAACACCGCATCAAATGATTCATACTTTATCAAAGTTTCGTTGCTTCTTGTCCAATACAAGAGCAGCTGAATTCGACTTCTCCAGATCAATTGCAAGATCTTCGAGTTCTCCTTGAAGTCTCTGTTTTGTTTTCTCTAAACTTGAAGCCTTCGCTTGAGAAGCCTCGACAGCCTCTTCAGCTTCTTGAAGACGAGAAGCCAACTTTTTTCTATGTGTTCAAGAAACAGTTTTTTTTTATTTTTTATCTGAGATGCATGGATTAGAATCTTTGAATCCAAACAGTTTGGCGTGGAACCTTTCACGGATATTACAATAGGGCGATATTTTATAGAAAAGAAAAAACTGCTAAAAAAGATGTATGAGCTACTTAATGGCATAGTTCTTACTTGGCTTCTTCCAACTCTTCCGTTCTTTGTATAGCGTCAGTTTCATATTTTGTTCTCCATTGTGCAACTTCTGCATTTGCTTTTGACAAAGCTCTTTGTAACTCTGCTTTAGTTTCTTGTTCGTCTTCATATTGTTCGCGAAGAAGATCGTTGTCATGTCGAGCACTCTGGACACCGTGGGCCAGAACGCTTTTGGCCTTAAAATATACAATCGCCCATGTTCAGAGATGGCACAATGGCCTTCTCGACGAGGCAACTAGTGTTTGTTATGAAGAAAGCATGTGTATGAGCAGTGTCATATAGGTAATATAGGTAAAAATCAATTATTCGTCAAATATTTCAATTTGAAATATGAAATGCATTTCCTAACTAAAACATAAGCTATGTTATCCGCCTGTGCCTTGAAAGTTTCAGCGAAATATTGTCGTCATGGCTGAACGAAGCACTAATCACATTCTTAATTAATTGTTACGCATAAGTGATTACGGCACAGATTTAGATTTGTTTACTTTGAGTTCAGGAGCTGTGTCGATGTTTCACACAAAGACAAAGCAACATGATGTATCGGGTAGGTACGTTTGTTACTTTATATACCAATTTTTAAATCATTCAATCAATATTTATCTGAAAATCAGGAAAAGTATTAAAAAATTCCTCATGTAAAATTACACAATAGCGATTGTAGTTGTTTATTACAAAGTATTCTGGTTAGACAGAGAAACACTAGACAATGGCGAATGATCAGAGCTAAAATTGATGTTTCGCAAAAAGGATTTTCCTAGAGACGATATCATCATTGCAGTTTTTGACTATGCTCAGAGTAGAATGACTTGACCCGGTCACATTTTCGTAGGTGTGACACGATAGAGTAGTTTGATAAATTGTTAACCAGGAATATGGCACAATTCTGGCAATTATTCTTATCTTAAAATATTCTGCAAAAAATAATATATCAAACTAATAATATATCGATAGTACCTTAGATTCCTCTTCCAGAAGCCTTTTTAATTCCTCCAATTGTTGCTGCATTGAATTTCTAGTTCTTGTGTACTGACTCATCAAAGCTTCCTTTTCCTCAACAACTCTGCTCAATTCGCCCTGGAATTTTAATATTTATTTCAAGAGGAGGAGAGGAAAGTAGACTATGAACCCATATATATCAGCTCGTTAACCATCCAGTCATAATTTCTCAAATGCATAAATGTGCACATATATATGTATAGTTATGGCACAATAACAATTCTACTATGACTATAAATAAACGAATATTAGATTGAAAACAGTCATGGCTATAGGAAGTGTATCCATAGTTTAAATACTAATAAATACAGTAAATTATTACTAAGAGTACTGTTACAAACATTTTGTTGAAATTAAAGGTAAATGAAGTAGAAATAAAAAATTCCGACATACTCTTTCGCTCGAAATCCTGGCAAATTTTTGGTTCAATTCACTCAATTCTCGACCCATTTCTTCGTTCTTAGATTTTGCCTCTGACAATTGATCCTCAAGGTTACGACTCAATTTTTCAAAATTCAACTGAAAGATATTTTTAGAAAGATATTAAAAATACAGAAATGTACACACTTCATTACAAATTTGGTAATTAATCAATTAGTAGTAATTCAATAAGGATAAATTTAAAAGTTGAAAATATAATTTATTAGAAAAAAAAATGAAACCTTCGCCTTGGTAACAACTTCTACATTTGTTGATAGATCATCAATTTCCATTTTCAATTCACTTTTTTCTTTCTCTAACTTCTGTTTTACTCGTTGTAAATTGTCGACCTATTGAAAATGTCATAAATTAAATAAGGGTGAAAAAGTTCAGCTTCAACACATATACCAATTATAAGTGACGAGTGGAAAGAGCATACCAAATGCCACAGGCAATAGGATGAGAAGATATATATTCGTTTTTCACCAAACAATGAATTACTCGAAGTCAATGACGTTTCTCAAGAAAAACGAATACAATTTTAGCAAGACACATGAAAAATAATATAAATACTTCGCTTTTGAATTTTTAGCAGTGGTATGTCATCAAGAATATAACCTGTCATTTCAGAATTGTCACCCCACGCTTATGTTTTGATATCGACCAGGGGTAATATATTGGCGAAAATCACTATCGCTTCAAAATTAGAACAAGTTTAGTACTTGTGAGTGATTTTATATGAGATTTAAACGGTACCTGTTCCGACAGTTCAGCATCTCCGTCTGCATGCTTCTTCCTCATTGTAGATATCAAAGATTCATGAGCAAGATTCGACTCTTCTAACTCTCTGCGCATCTTCGAAAATTCAGCTTCACGTCTCTTATTCAACTCAATCTAAGCAAGATACAACTAATCAGCAATGACTAATTTGCAAGATTTACGAATTCTGAATTGCTCATTAAACTTTTTGTAATCCTGTTTTGAAAGCATTTTACGAAGACGAACCTGTTATTCGAACCATTATGAGTGTAGAACTATTTCGCGTATTCAAAAATTATATTAAATATATATTGGATAAAATTAGATATAATTCTTTGCGTTTCGGGAGAGAGTGGCAATTTTTCAAAAACTTGAAAACTAAAAACGAAGTGTGGCTTGCAAACGCGTTTACCTCAAACCATCCTGGATTCTTCGAACACCACGTTTCGAATAGATCATCCCACTATCTACAGGAGCGACATCAAAACATAAAAGTTCTTCAGGGCATAATAGTGATATTGCAAACTTCACATGGGACCTGTGTAAAACATGATATATAAAGTTGTATTTCACCTGAGCAGATGTCGCACCTCCCGCCTCTTCCAATCTCTCGCTCAATTCTTCAAGCTCACGTGACATATCCGTTTTCTGCTTTTCGGCTTTTGCTCTCGCAGCTCGTTCTGCGTCCAGTTCTTCTTCGAGTTCTTCTATACGAGCCTATAAACAACACATAATTTCTTTTTTAAGTTGAATGATTTGCTTTACACAAAATAAAGTTACCCTGTAGATACGCTAATATCGACAGGTAAGTAATAATATACTCTTTTACCTGAAGTTCTTTAATTTTTCTCTGCAGTTGGGCGATCAAGGCACTTTCATCTTCAAGCTTAGTACTGAGTTGATTGTATTCAAATTCCTTCTTTTTTAACTTTTCTTCCGTTCTTTGTCTTTCATTTTCAAGATCCATGATACTTTCCTGAGAAAGTCTCAAATCTCCTTCCAGTTTACGTTTGGATCTTTCCATATCCATACGAACTTTTTTCTCTTGTTCAAGAGAGGCCTCAAGCTATATATTTGAAAAAGTTACATTTAATTTTCAAATCTTGAGCAAAATCATTTTCTTTTCGTACAAAGGCAATATGGTCGATATAAAGAATATTTTCAAAGTTGTAGTCGAACAAATTTTTGAATTTGACATTTGCAATTTCCTTATACCACAAGATATTGTTTAAATACAAGTTGTTCTCAGAGGTCTCAAAGCAAATTTTATACATGTGACCAATCACAAATTTAAATGTGCAATTTAAATTGAATAGATTCATAAAAAACGTTATTTAACAAATTTTACAAATTCCGTAATAGAATATCCTTAATAGAATTAATAAATAGATGGAAATTTTACAGAAATACCAAACAGTTTGATGAGGTTACTTTATTTATATATCCATTTTATGTATTTTTTGAATAATATTCAAATTAAAAATATTTTCTATTTCTCAACTTACATCATCAACTTGTTGTTCCAATTTAGATTTTTGCTTAGTCAAGCTATTCACTTTATCTTCTTCTGATTGCAGATCATCCAATGTTTGTTGATGAGCTTCTTGTAAAGCTTTCTTTTCTTTTTGTGTCTTTGCAACAGTATCTTCCAATGTTTCTACTTCATCACAAAGGTTTCGAACCTAATGGACAATAAGTAATTGTAACGATAAATATTATTGATGTTCGAGAGAATCCAACATTGACTAATATTTTATACCACAAATATTTTGTTTACTCAATAAAATATATTTAAAAGAAAAGATTGGTAAATTTTGTTTGCTCGCTTTTATTAATATCACAGTTTTCATATAAAAGATCACTAAGTTAAATAAATAAAGAAAAAGATGTTGTATAGAAATATTGATTGTCTGTTTTGTTTTTAATTCGATAGAATTGAATGGACTCAAATAGAATCATTTTGCTTCCTGAGCATGTGTCAACAATATGAGAAGAGCAATTTGTGGTGATTTGTGGCACCGACTGATATGTCTCCATAAACTGCCAACGTTAATGTGATACTCTGTAGGTGCGTGTGTAAGTGACTTCTTGTATAAGACCTTGTTTAGCGCAAACGTACAAAAGAATAAATCTTAGTGTATTATAATGAAGTCAATAAAATTATCACTTTTTAACAAACCTTGTTCTCTGTGGCATGCTTCTCTTTTTCTACTTTCGCCAAAGTTAATTCCAGATTATCAATATCTTTTTTTAATTCTGAACATTCATCTTCTAGTTTTCTCTTCTTTGACACGAGATCATTGCTGACTTCCTCCTCGTCTTCCAACCTCTCGGAAAGGTCTGGAGGTAGAAACATTTGTTCTGACTATATTGTTTTTTTATAGAGATATTTAAAAACTTTAGTAAAATACCTTTCAGTTTTGATTCTAATTCTACTTTGCTTTTAATGAGTTGATCGCAACGATCCTCGGCGTCTTGTAAATTATCTTGTTCCTGAGTTATGAAAAAATGGTAAATTATATAAAAATATTTGTTAAATTATAAACAGCATTACAAAGTAACGAAGAGAAATAATTGACTATTTGTCAAATGTGGGTACGGTTTCTGTCAAAAGTACATAACGCACTTGAAGCGATGACGTCATAGAAATAAAAATCAGAAAATATAATCTTAATCTATAATCTTAAAATATAAAGAGCATTACAAAGTAACGAAGAGAAATAATTGACTATTTGTCAAATGTGGGTACGGTTTCTGTCAAAAGTACATAACGCACTTGAAGCGATGACGTCATAGAAATAAAATCAGAAAATATGGAAAAAAACAATCATATTCATACCGCTGTTAGTTGTAACACTAGATCATTCTTTTCTTGGATCAAAGATACTTGGCTTTCTTCAAGCTCCTGTCGCCGTTTCTTTTCTTTTTCAAAACTTTCTTTCACATCACCCATTTCTTTTTCGATTGCTTCTCTTTCTTTGGCACTTTCAGCAGTTTTCAATAATGGTTTGATTTTGAACATAAGCCTCATCCATTCCCAGTTTTTCACAGAGAAATACGAACGTAGATTTGACTGTATCACTATGACCGCTTGTCTGAATTAATATATATTATGTTTGATTGTCAAATTTATAGTCGTTCAAATGGTAAGCACAATTTGGGATGGCACTGCAGTACACATCATTGAAAAATGGGTACCTAGTATCAATTACTAATGCGACGTAGTTCTAATAGGAGAAATAAGTATAATCGCTGAATAGATCCCTGATTGTATTGAAAATTGAATTTTCTTCTAACCGTCTTTCTAGCATTTTCTGGTATTCGATTCTCATTTGTTTTCCTCTGACACGAGCTTGCAGCATTGTTAATATCATTGATAATCTTTCATCTCTCATATCTTCAAGCTCTCCCAACATACCAGCTTTGAAAAATATCTGTTTTACAGAATAAAAACAGCTTTGAGACAATAACATGCAACTACCGGGAAAAAACCGCTGAATTTGTTTCAAATGAACATACTTCCTGAAGCGTGAATAATAATATGATATAAAAATATTCTGGTGAAAGGAATAGGAAAATTAACGCTAGATAAAAATATACTAAGGCATAAAAGATTATTTTGAAAAAGTGAAATATGTTCTCAAGACCTTTGTGTGTCCAAATCGGAATTGACTTGCATCCATATCTAGACTGCCCATCAATTTTTCTGTAGCTTTTTTGCTGTCTAGAAATTGACCCTCTGGTGCAGCGCTCGGATTGAGTATGCGGTATCTGCAATAATGAGTATGATGATAAATGATAAATATTAAAAAAAATAAGCAAACGACTGTCCACAAAGGCTTAATTTGGAATTTCTGCATCGTCTTCGTCATCCAGGTGTTTGCCTTACTACAAATTCTTGTAACAACAATGTTCGTTTCCACAATCGTTCGGACTTGATCATACTCACTTTTGTATCAACTAGGTTCTACTCAACTACAGCCTGTGATTCAGTGGGTTCGAAGTAACCAGTACGAACATGTTTCTAGAATGTCTTTATAATCAGCGGACCCGTCCATGTTTTTTGAAGCAAATGGCTAATGAGCACTGCAGCTGACGACTATAATATTTGGCGTTTTGGAAGTTATATATTGGATGGATGGGAATAAATGATAATATTGTCAGGAAAATTCATGATGTAATGTAAGTATACAATGTTCATTACAACCTGAACTCTTGACTATCAACTAAACACATTAAACTTCATTAAATCGAGGTGTTTATGAAAATCTTTCTTGTGAGCTAACGGTACAAACAGACACGGATCTGGGTCTGGGAAATCTGCCAAAGGGTCCTCATGTGGCTATTATTGAATATCTAGATATTTCAAATTGAGGAAACCTTTAAATCAAGAAATAGACTTGCCGTTGTTTAAACTCAGCATACACAATTCTACTGGGAAATCCTTTTCTGCAAATTCTTATTCCTTCCAACACTCCATTACATCGCAGTTGATGAAGTACAAGTTGATTATCCATCATTCCTGGATTTTTCATTTCGTTGGGAATAATACATCGTACGAAGTGTGGTTGAGTTGAACGGAGATTGGTCATCAAACGATTCAACGACTCCTACGTACATAATACCAAAACTTGCAAAAATGAAAGTCAGAGTATATTTATCAATATTGATACAATTATAATCAGGAGGCACTTCTGCGTACGACCAAGCGCTGATGTCTTTTTTGTACATACGTTCGTGAATCATAAATTATGTTTAGTTGGTCGATGCAATAAACTATTTTAATATTTATACTGTTTCAATAGGATGCGCATTAAAATATGGCGATCGTTTATTTCAAAGTCATACAACAATCAGTTTGCCAAAATCTGGCGAGTATGGGTAACATGTCGCGTTTTATTATATCAGTACTCTTACATAGTAAGTAATAATGCCATAGATTTTTGAAACTTGAGAACTCGATTTTCAGTCTTGTATTTGATTTAGTATATTTTGATGAGAAACCATATGTATTGTTTAAACACAACCAATCTCTTGTAGTCGGTTGAAAGAATTATTTCATAAAAAAAAGTGGTGTTAGGGAAACGAGAAAAGAATGGGAAAACAAAAAAGCTGGTGTACGCGCTTGTAATTACATTCAATTCCAGTATAATCTTAATAAATCGTAAATATTCCGCTTGGCGCGGAAGTTTTATGTAACTTACACAAGGCGTACAGAAAGTGGCAGTTCATTTTAAACGAAGTAGGTCGAAATGAGGGCGACTTAGACGTCATGAAGTCAAGATCTGCTTAGTATGACATGAGTTGTTTATCTGGTGGTTCTCAAGTATCAGGAATACATAAGATTATGCGATAGCTATGGAATTTGCACAACTTGTACAGACCGAGTGTCTGAATAATTTAAACAGGAGAGAAGCAAACGTCAAATGAACTATGCTGAATGTCATACAAACCCTGTGTAATGACGACACTGTCTGAAATGAACCGCCTTTCTGGCGTTTTCCTCTGCCGGCCTTTTTCTGCTCGACAGCTGTAATTGATAAGCGAGACAAATAAAACGTCGAAAATAAATTAAATTACCACTGTTTATTTATCATTGGAATTAGACCGCAAAACAATTCTTATTACATTTTGTTTAAATTAAGTCTTGCACATCTTGTCGCAAAAATATTATTTCGACGAGGACCCATCTGAAAGTTTACATTCAAAACATAATAACTAAAATTATGACGGCGTGAAGATTTTATTCGTTTCCTCGCAGTTTTGATTAACTAAAGGCAAATGGACTTTCGGTGAAATCTCAGGAATAAATTACCTGAAACCTAAAAACAGCACGATGCCCATAAAATATCACTTTTACTTCATTATAAAATTAATGAACAATAAAAAAAACTCACCATCGTCCGGCGAAATGTAGCTTTCCCATACAGTTGACAAAACCTTCAATGTTGATTTTTTGTATAAACTAACAACAGAATTATTCAGTGGATCTTTATTCTTTTCCAACCATCCTGATATGTTGTACCCAACCTAGATATCCAATGTAACGCAAATTTAACAATAATATTATGATATTTGATAACATTTCAATTACAAATCAGGTTTATAAAAATTTTAACTTACGATCCCAGCATAATGAATTAATTCAAAATGAGCTTCAAATTTTCTTTTTATCTGCGGCCTCGGTTTGATGAAATTGTTCGATTTTCCAAGATGGTTTGCATACAATTTCTCTTTGAATGTCTGATCCGAAGCTTTTGGAAACATACATTCTTCCTCGAGAATTGACATAATACCCAATGGCTGAAATGAACAACCACGCCAGCTATAAAATTGATGAAGGTGAACGGGTAAGGGCTTGGAGAAGTCTCGAACATACTTTCACAGTTGATTTGCATAAAATCCCAACGTTGATAAAGTTAAAAGCCCCCTGTAGGCATACGGAAATAAAGGGACTGTTCCATAATTTCGCGCAAATAACGTTAGTAGCGTCATAAAATAAAGTCGACGAGGTCAATATCCCAAGGTGCTATTCCTCTTTTCCATTTAATGATAAATTCGGTAAAATGTTATTACTAAGCTATTTCCGATGATGATACTTTTAATGACAGCCTTCACAGTCGTAGACAGATAAGCTAATTGCAAAGTATCATACAAAAGTACTTTGAATGACAGCAAAGTTACTTGCTGTTCAAGAAGGGGCTGACATCACCATATACAGAACTCTAAGTTCCTGAAATCACATACCCCGGTTCTGTTTATTATCAATAATGTTGTCAATGCATGTACCCAGTATATATGTATAATTTCTAGGTTTCAAAAGCTGAGCAAGTGTGTTTCAAAATTTATTTGATGAAAACAACTTGTGGCGAATTTCACCATGGTCAGGATTATGTCTAGAAATCAAATGATAAATTATAGTTTATTTTTACTGAAATGCAGAGCTCTATTGGAACAAAACGATTTATTTTTCATTATATACGACGTTTTTATGCCCCTTTCAATGCAAATAAGGCTTCTTCAGTACATGCTTATTTCAGGGCGCTTTTTATAAAAAAATATTGTTTTTTTATAATATATTTTATGGGATCTTTTATAGGAAATTGTTTATAATTTCCACACATGTATTAAATGAACAATGTACCTTTTCTATGAGTTCGATGCAAGCTTGCAAATCTAAACCAAAATCAATGAATTCCCAATCTATTCCCTCACGTTTGTATTCCTCTTGCTCTAACACAAACATATGATGATTGAAAAACTGCTGAAGCTTTTCATTTGTAAAGTTGATACAAAGCTGCTCGAAACTGTTGAACTGTAGATGATTAAAATATTTACGTGCTTAGATGATCTTCATAAAATAAAACTGACAGCATAATCAATAATCCTCTTCAAGAGCACCACACAAGAGCAACCATGAAAATTGAATTGTGGATTTAGTTTTCAGAATATTATGAAACGTATACATTATTTGACTTTTTCTTCACATTCACAAATGTATAGCTATATAAATTTATATATAGTATAAATATATAGCTAATGTTAATGACTAAACACAGTATGCAAATAATTCTGACGCTAACGAATGTAACGATTTAGATGAAATTTATAAAACTCCACAAACTTGAATGAAATTATGATCAAAATATAATTACGTCAAAGATTTCGAATCCAGCAATGTCCAAAACACCAATGAAAAAACTTCGAGGAAGTTTCGTGCTCAGAGTTTCATTGATACGTTTCACCAGCCATGCAAAAAGTCTGTCATAAACGGCCTGAAAATAAAAGCGTAAAAGTTATTTTGTAAAGGCAATAGGATTATTGTGCAAGTTAGTAACATGGGTGAAATCGTGTATCCGCATAACTCATTAGATGGAAATGATAGTACCTTACATAGAGCCCCAGATGAGTAATAGACTTGCTTGACCGTTTGCCCTTTAGTGACGTAATCATTTCCTACTCGAACTCTAGGTTGAGTGAGTGATTTCATAAATTCGCCGGTGTTTATTCCAAGTAAATAGGAAATTTTGTCAGCATCTGTTGACACAAATATTCTCCATTATCAAAAATAAAGCAATTTATTGGCAAAACTTGAAATACATAATATAGTCGTCGAGGAATAAATTATTTGAGTTATTCCAATGTAATTGGTTTTGACCTATACATACGCATATTCATTGTTTGCATTCCTTTTTCATGAGCTGTTTGCAAAATCAGCTACGGAAAAAAATAAATCTTGGCGTTTTTCTAAATGCTTGAAAGCAGAACGCTATTCCAATTTTCCTCCGAAATCTTACCTTGTGAAGATTACTTCCAGGTGAGTTTGAATCGGCGCTAATGTTAAGCAAACTTGTGAAAATTATTACTTACCTTCAGTTCCATCCGCTTCAGCTTGTTCTTCTCTGGGTTTTTGTTTGAACTTCATATTCCCAGCATGCATAATGGATCCCATTATCTTGTATATTCCAGCCTTTTCTTCTGGTGTAAAGCCAAGAACGTCAAACGCACTCTGTGCAAACAATAATTGTCCATGTTCAGGTAAATTATAATGAGGAGGCAACTACTATAGCAGTGACTCTAAACCTTTTTTGTCGACAAGCCCCACGAAGGTTGGGTATAACCGTTCGCACCCCCGTCATATTTAGTAACTCCTACAAGGCGTCGCTGAGGTTAATGAGAGTTTGGAATATATCACGATTTCATCATCAATACCAATTGATGCGATTAACCTAAAAATTATATCCCAGCAAATTGAGAATGAATCACGACTAACAAGATGCCATAACCTATTATATATTGTGACCCCAAAACACAGACAAATATTACATAATCCCAAGAGTTATAGGTTAAATATTTTAGTTCAAAAAAGGGTAAAATTAACTATGTTTTGAACTGTTGGACGGTGATTTTTGTTTTCCTATTTGCCGACGGTATTTTACTGACGGAAAACATTCGACAATTCTAATACGTAGGAAGGAGCCCAGTAGCCAGTCAACAATAGCTTTTAACACCAGCATAAACAGCATCCAAGTACGAACAAACACTTGGCCGCACAGTTCATCGCTTAGCCTGTGCTCAGTTTTATGTTGATATCTGATGATGAATAAACATTGTATCTTGTTCTTATCGACGAACTGCCATATCGCAACAAGGTACGATCCATGTCGCATTTCCGCGCTCCCTCTGGATTTGTCTGACGCCTCCGAAATGGGCGCCATACCAGGTTAAGTACCACTGTTGTAGCATACAGTTTCTGATAAGAAAATAAATAAATATGAAAATCTGTGAAAATTATTACATCAGTGGCCATTAATTCTTCCGCATCATCCAACCCGGCGACGGTGACGTCACCTTGCGATACGTATCGATATGAGTATGGATCGGTTGTCACCAATAAAGACTCTGTCAAACATAATTGGAATTTTTAAGTAAACTTATTTAGAAGATATTTGTTATACTGAATTAAAATATATCAAACGGTAATCAGACTTCTTTCTACATTTATCATAATAGTCAAGTCAACTCAAATATAGATATCCTGTAAATTTTTGCTTCATTCTGTCAGAAATCAGAGCACATACATTACACATACAAAACACACTCTTTTATTTTTATTTTTGATCAAATAAATAAAGTAATGGTCGATTCCTTGTCATCTTTTGTTGGAAAGAGTCATATCAAAATCACAATTACAATTTTAATACTAATTTTGAAACAATGAATAAAGTTTGTGCTACTATTTCTGAATTTACCTAGTAATTCGGGTTTAGCTCCAGAACATATTTGATAGAAAATATGAAATCCTCTTTCTCCGCCTTGCTGAAATATGACTCGAGATTTTTCGAGGAGATCTGAAGATGAAACAGAAACATAGAAATAATTTTGTAATTGGGAAAATTGTCGTTTTAACCCGGGTGGTTCGGTGAAACTGTTCCAGGGGTTCGACGAAGATTCTCTGAAATAATTGCATATCATTAAGTGTTTTTATTACCCAGCCTATTTAATTATGTAAGAATAACTATAGTACTATAGTGAATAACTATATCCACGTTTAGAAAAGCTTAACTATGCGTATAGTTTCGCACAGATATAAGTTTTATTGGACCTGTCAATATAATGGCTATGTCTGGAATCCAAATGCACTTGATCGAAAACTTATTATATCGCCACATACGTCGCTCATAGTGTGTCTGTGTCTGAAAAACTCTTTGCAATTGCATTTTTTGTAAAATATGTCAACCAAAGAAAAAACTTGGTCGGAAGACTATATGTGTAGTTAGTTGTTCTCGCAGATTATGTTGTTTTCACCACTGGCAGACCCAGGGAGTTGTTGGTTGATACTATTTTGATAATACATGGCCTTTGAATATAACTCTAAAAACTTAGATTCAAGTCAATAACGCAACAATCAGACAGACTGTTGCATTCGCAAACCATGCACAAAATTAACTTCCCCCTTTTAAGTGCGCCCCTCAGGTTCTTGCGCCCATTGCTTTACATGTTTAAAACATTAGGGTTCGACGATAGCTTACATAATAACGTAGGGCTTCGGCAGGTTCGGAAAGCAAAGGAATACTGGTTTAAGCAAAGATGTAACCATCAGCGACAAATAGAATCGATCGCGAATGTATAGTTGGATCCAATTTAATTAAAATAAATTTTTAACGATGTTCATATTTGTCAGCCGGATATTCAATCGCCTGAATTTTCCTATTTTTATTTGGACATTATACTCACATGTCTCAATATCTCCTGAAGCCAATTTACCGGTGTTTCCAAAATGAATTCGGATGAATTTGCCCTGAATGAAATTTTTTTTGCATTTTTTATACTGTAGTATAAATAACGTTGCACAATGTACAACATTTCATATTGGCGCTGATATTCGATAAGTTTTAGCAACCTCATTACAATGTATAACCACTGTATGTATACTACATTCACAAGTTAAATTTCATAAGAATTCATCGGTCTGCTTCTATCGCATAATAATTCAAATACTGTTAGTTAAGAAAAAATATCGTTTTTAAACATCAACTCAATAAAAGTTTGGAAATAATGTCAGATATTGAAATGGTATAAAACTGGTGCAACTGGTAAAAAAGAGCAACAACATTGCCTATTCGGTCTGATTTATGCTATTATCTCAGAATAATTACCATATTGAGCAACTAATACTCACAAATCTGGATGAATTATCATTTCTTATAGTTTTGGCATTTCCAAACGCTTCCATTGCAGGATTTGCTTGAATAATTTGATCTTCGAGAGTCCCCTGGTTAAATATGAAAATAATTTGAACGAAAAAAAACGGAGGAAAACTATAGAACTTGAATTTTAAAGAATTTATAGAGTGCTCCAGAAGTCGTGCATGTACAAACCTGACGATAAAGTTGGATTAATTTAAAGAAAACTTTATATTACCCCCATTTTTGTTTTTGGTTGGTGATCATCTACAACTTTTGCTGCCTCGCCTAAGGCAGCTACTGTCGCGAAGTATTGGATAACCTTCTTGGTGTTAACAGTTTTTCCTGCTCCCGACTCGCCACTGTGAACATGAAATATTTATAAAAGTACAGTTATTGAAAAATCAAATGTTTGACTTAGTTAATGTAGGGCGTGCGTTGTGTTAATTAAGAGAACCTCTAGCACAACAGACACCACTGATATCGTATGCCTCTCTAATATCAATGATATTTGACATTGTAGAGATCATGATTTATTAACTCAATACCGTAGATATAAAGTTATAATCAATAAAATATTTGAGATTAATTTTGCTTGTCTTCTTTAAACATGGTCGAATTTGTAAGATGTTAAAAGTTGACAAATAATAATATTTTTTTTTATTGTTATATATCATAAGCACTTCGCAATGAATGCATTTTGTGCAGAGCAAATAATATCGACACTTTTCATAAGTGTAAGATATAAGTTAGTACATTCATCATCAAATATACAGCCCAAATATTGATTGCAAAATTATACACCGCATGAGTGTTTCTCGTGTACTGTTACATTACGAGTGGTTACCATGGAGGCGACCTATGTCGGTTACAGCGTCGACTGAACGACTAAAGCGTTAGACTCAAGTATGTTGGCTTTTACGCATTTCAGGTTCAATTCCTATGACCACCACCGCACACATAGTGTAAGAAATCGAGTAGACAATGCCGGTCCTTCCAAAAAATATAACAGTAGTTCCTTTTATATTGTTAGTTATTAGTGGGCGGGAAAGTGTGTGAAAGGCGGGAAAATACGTCTACTCACGTGATCAACATGGACTGGTTTTCTCTGTCTGCAAATGATAAAAGTATGCGGGATTGAAACATAAAGATTTAGTAATTTTATATTTTTACGTCATTACACCGACTCTCAAAATATAATACAAATTTATTAATCTTAGTGAGCTCAACATAAATGAAAATATTGAGTTTACAAACTTACTTCTCAACATATCGTTGTAAGCATTATCAGCAATTGCAAATATGTGAGGCGGTGTTTCAGCTCGACGTCTTCCTTTATAACAGCTGACAACATAGGTCTCATATACAGGCAGGTATTTGTAAGGATTTACAGTCACACAAAACAGTCCCGAGTATGTCTTAATAAAAGTTATGCGGTATAATGTTATATTTGCGTTAAAGTAGCCAGACAAGTAGTTTTTGTCAGATATGTTATTATCAAAAACCAACACGGCGCTGTTGGTGCTTTAATGGTCATAATGAAAATATCAACTTTTGGGAAAATGACTTACATAATACTTACGTAAATCATAAATTTTTCATATCTTCGCCGTAAATTGTACAAAACCGATGGCTCGTTCAAATATGTCAAATTTGCCATATCTTCAATCATTTGAAACTTTGGGGGATTTTGCTCATGAATGTTGTCTTCTTTCACATCTAACTCCTGCGAGAAGAAAAAAAAGATTACAAATATTTCTAATGTTGAGTAAGACAGTATGATGTTTCATTTTAAAAGATTCTTAAAGTTGCTTAAAAAAGTATGGAGCATACATGTAGGCATATACAACTCATATAAGTTATAAATAAAGTAGGCTTACTAGAATTGATATGGATTGTTAGTGAAGCGTTGTTTTTGCTACGCTTTTTGTTGGATTAAAAATCGATTCTCTGACCAATATCATCAAATTAAATCTGAATCATAACATGGCTACAACAAAAAGCCCACGGTAAATAACGATACGAAGGCAGATTGGCTTCATATTGCCTGCAGTAAATCGAATGACTTCGAATGCTTTCTAACCTCGTATGGAAATTTCACGGCAGTATTCATTAAGTAAATGTGACATCGCATAAACCAGATAACGTCCCAGTGCAGATGCCTCCGGTTTCGAAATACCGAAATTGTTTTTATATTTATATAGAACAGATCTAGAACGGCGTTGAAATTGGGGTAATTTTATCGCAAGTTAGGCTTTTCAGCATAGTTTTTTGACCGTCTTGTTTATATAGGTGAGCATTGCTGTTCTGTGTTCTAATGTGTATGACATTGAAAACGGGATAATTTATGTACGAAATACACGACTTTTGGGTAGAACAATATTGAGCATGGGCCTTTCGCATATTATATCGACTAAAATATACAGAACGTCCAGCAGGTAAACAGATTAGCAGTTGAATGGCTGTTTTCCGTTGTGGACGCGTTGGTATCCGATTCAGTTAAAACCGGGAAGAGTAACGTATTTAGTTCAGATATCAGACTGGAGGTGCGATATTTTACGCGATACAGTTGGTTTTAGAACCGTGGGATGACTTTATATACACATTTATCTGCACAAGTTCGTGCAATATGGATTTACGGCCATTCCTACTTTATAGGGGGCCTAGGAAGGCAATTGTGACTTGAGAGGTTATAGTTTTAATAACCGACAAACTCATGATCGTATATGACTGTACTAATTCAATTTAGTAAACGCATGCAGAGTGATTGCAATTGCATATCATGTCTGCGGGTAGCAGATAGTTGTTGAAAATGATTAAGTATTGTGAATTTCTGCGGATGTTTAGATATATATTTTTTACAATAATAAAAAACAATTTCAAGACAACATTGACTGCAATCATACTTAGGCATGATTTTGACTTACATAACCACGGACCCATGTAATTGAATGAGGGTCTTCGTTGGGGCTTGAGCAAATTTCTGAACCGGAAAGGCACAAGAAAGCTTCTTTGTGACACGAAATTGTTACGAAAACATGAAGGTAATCAATTTTGTGCGACCTTCATAGCAACGTTGGGGGAAATCGAAACATGTTTGGAATTTGAATGTGGAATTCTACTATACTGGATTGTGGGAAGAGTGTTGTCAGGAGAGATAAACGGAGTCGGATCAGAATAACACGAATCTTTGTAACTTAAATATTTAAAAGGAAAGCGTTATGGGCGAAATAATTCTGTCTCCATGGCGACGACCCTCTCTCTCCAAATTTACTCACCTATAAGAGGCTGTATCTTCCCGCTGGTCGCCGTAAAAACGATTACATATCTATATACTGGGAATGGGAGATATACACTTGTTTGACTACAACAATAAGCTTGAGAGTGCGGACCGTTGGACCGATATTTGAGGCAGGCTCAGTAGGAAAAAGGTTGGAAGCCACTGCACTGGAGTTATCCAATGTGTATATAAAAAAAATTATCTTAAGTCCTATCACGCTATTTACTGGTATCATGAATGAAATCTATCGAATAGGTAAAATTCATGTATATTATGAAAGCTATATAAAACCAGATAAAGATTAGAACTTAATGTTTAAAACAAGATTGTTTTTTTCTGAACTAACGGCATGGCAAGTTTGAAATTTGTGGAAATATGCTATATATTAATAAGTGTTGCAGACATTCAAAGTGACCGTGTCCGGAAAATTCGCCGCATAAAAAATCGCCGCAAGAGCATTTTGTTGTAAAACAAGTATTTGTGATAAAAACAATTAGGTTTATAGGGTTGGGGTATAATCTTAAATAACGAACTTTTTTAAATAAAAAGGTACAACAAAATGCTCTTGCGGCGATTTTTCCTATGCGGCGAAATTTCCTGCAGCGCGATTTCATACGGCGAAATTTCCTGCGGCAAATTTTCCTAGAACCAAAAATGACATATATATCTTTGTTTTGGAAAAAAATTTATTACTCACATCACCGCCTTTTGTTTTCACTTTCTTGCACCCTTTCTTTTCCGAAGCTCCAACTATTTCTGCCAACTGGTAAACATCGGTTTTGTGCGGAATCCAGACCTATAAAAGTTGTGTATTATTTAAGCTCATTCCAAAATTGTTTTACCTACAAGGATGGCTTGCTTTGTTTGATTTTGAGTTGACTTAATAAAGTTTTGACGACACGAAAATTTAGCACGCTCCATTGATTTATACTGTACACTAACATTCTGAAAATAGCATAATAACAAAACAAAACACCGTTTAACTGGACTTACTGATTTTTTTCCAGCGAAAGGTTGAGCCTGAAGTTCCATGCTTTCTTTTGGACTCATTCGGAGATATCCCGCCGCTTCTTTGGTAGCGGATGGATCCCACATCTTGGATACTTTTTCCAAACGAGGGATAAACAATAAAAATGCGAATGACCTTGCAAACTCAAAACTGAACTATACCAGAATGGTAAATATCTGTATTGAACCCGAAACGTCCGTGTCGCAGAATGAATGATGATACAACACTTCCAGGGCTAAAATGATGAACTCCCAGAATGCAAGGGGAAGAAGTCCTAATGCCTTATTTTTCATTATTGAAAGAATTCAGCATGGCGACATCGTCTAATAATATTCATTTTAGTGTTTTAAGTGAGTAATTTTACAGATAAGATAAGCATCTTAAGTTTCAGCTTGTGTTGGACTGCGCAGTTGAGTCGAGGTTTGTATTAGGCTCATGTTTGAGCGAACATTGACCACTAGTGAATTGAACCCTTGCAGTCCGTAAATGCGGTTATCTAAGTAGTCTGGTAAGTTCGCCACAACTCAAGCTGCGTTATTGATGTTATCTTGCTACCTTCTAATATTAGCGAAAGACGCGTCAACGTTATCTGTATGCTTGAGTACAATTGCCGTATAAGGAATCGAATAACGCCTTTTACGACTAGAGGAATCTATGCAATCATGCCTTTCAATGATCGAACAATTTCAGCTGAGGCTGTTCTTCAGAGGCATTCATGATGCAAAGGATCATATGCAATTCTATTTATCAGGAATGGACAATCACTGATGGGTTAATTTTGGACTTCTCTGCAAAGATCGGCTAAAATCTTCCTAATGCCTTGCGATCGACTAATCGTTAATAAGGTCACACACATAATGGTTGAGTGCAAAATTTATAACCTAGCATCGAAGATCAACTCATAGGGACACCAGAAACAAAAGCCACCTCTGGTAATTAAATAATGATTTTTAAATGATGGTGATCCTCCCACTCAGACCGGAATCTACTTTCCAACGAATTTTGAACCCGAGAGAATATCTAGTTGTTAATAATGTTCAGTTGCAATTTGCAGAGATTTTATATGTTCATCGACCTAAACTTTTATTGAGTTCTCATGTCTGACTCTGACATAGTCTCAAATAATATCTACTACAGGAATTGATGCCTACAAATACTCTAATATAATGGAATGTGGTTAACCACAAAACGTAGGCTAAGATTATATGAGACAGTCCTGAGTATAATTATTGATGCGGTTCTAACGATACCGACCCAGGGCGGTTCTATAGAGAGACATGCCTTTCCTATTTTGGGACATCAACTAAAGAAATAAAGTCACAAATGGTGGCGCGATATATCTCCGCTGGAACGCGCCTACACAAAATTGCGCAAACTTTCTGGTCGGATCAGAATTTATATAAATTAATACTGAAATGGGCATATTGATGTCCAACTAAGATTACGAATACTACTCAAAATAGACACGAATTGTTCAATGCTGCAGAACTTACATGTAAATTGAATTATTCATTGGTCGAAGCATCTGACTCGGCTCTTTCTCTTCTTAAAATGATGGACTTAAATAGGCATGCATATATTGCTTTTATTTTATTTTGTGCATGCATGGTTTACTTCCTCTGAAAGAGTCGTTTTCAACTGATCTTCGCCCGTACTGTCCGGTGGTTCTGCAAGTTTACATTCAAATCCGAAAATAAATATTATATGTGTATTGTTTAACATTTAAAAATAGAATTAAATGACAATTAGAAGCCATTTTTATCATTGAATATAATTATTTACTATAATCGAAGAAAAGAAAATCATCAAAATCGATATTCTAGTGGCTAGTATTTACCTGAATTTGCCCCATCCTGGTTGCACAGAGTCGAGATGATATAAAGCACCACGCTAAACATATTTCATGTATTTGCTGAAAATTTTGTACGAACTGCGCTCAAAATATTATTTGCCTTATATTATGCTACATATAAATTGTATAATAATATTAGTTTATATAAAAAGAGACAGTGACCTACGTCGCTATAAGCGCGCACATTGCGCTTTTGAAACAATTTCAATGCACTGTAATCTGACAGCGTTTGAGTCGAGATAATTTAACGATTAGTATGAAAAATGTTCGATCATTTTATAATTCTCTAATATCTCAAGAACCACAATAGGTATGTCCCATACTCCGACATACTGCATGTAAACTAGTGCAATGGAGAATTGGAGAAACTTGCAATGCGCTATTCAAATTATATAGGCAAATACTGACATGGGTAAACTGCGGGCCAAAGCCGGCCCGATGGGTAATTCATCTGGCCCGCCTGATGTTGCGACAATCAAACTAAACCAAATTTTGATGTTTTAGCTCAAAATAACTCAAGGAAATTGCGATTAAATTCTGTTTGTTTCGTCACGAGGCTTATTGTTTTCCAACTTTGCTTCGGTAACACTGTAGATATTGTTCATAAAAAGTAACTTTTCAAGTTATACTTACATGGCCCGCCAGTCTAGGTGGACAAAATATTTGGCCCTTGATCCAAAAACATTGCCCACACCTGGCAAATGTGCTGTATATTGGAAAGCGTCACTACCAAAACGTGGCGTTTTCAACGACGGAATGCTTAGTCTCGTTATGAATATTACGCTAATGCAAAAGAGCGTGCCGATATCCACAATTAAGTTTTATATTATTCATTATAGAACAAAAAATAATAGGGCGATTCTATAAAACAACAATTTACTTTTTATTATTCTACTCAGAGTCGTTGCTGTTAATTATGTCATCCGGGAGTCTGCTTCACATCAAAAGAAATATCAATAACAAATAATAAGAAAACGATATATCAAGTTAATTTGGTACCGATGTTGTTAGTTGAGCAATTAGAAACATCATATAAATATCAACACTCATTTTACACGATTTGCATATCACAGCAATACAACCAAATATTCTAAAATTAATTAGGCAATACGAGTCTTGTTTGAACGCTCATTTCATCAATACTTTATTCGACACGAAATGTACTTATGGAGCCTCGAATGAAAAGAACCTTAGTTTGCTTAGGCTAAATAATTATATATATATATATATATATATATAACTCTATTACGGTAGTTAAACGGACCTGCCATAATTGCAGTACTTAAGCGGACGTCGTTCCTGTGTCCGTATCATTGTTTTTAAATACGTGTTTGGAGAGTGCGAGAGCCGTTGACAACTACGGAGAAAAAGAGTCAACACAATCCTCTCGGTAACAGATATAAAATTTTTGTCCGCTTAATTCGTCCACTTAATTCAGACCACCAAATGTTTTAGCCTATTTCGGCACTAAGCCGGACCCCTCTTATATGTCGCTCTGGATGTCTACATAAATGATGTTGCTTTTATTTTAATACGCATTTTAAAGCGTATGACCTCGCTTCAATTTCCGATGGATTCGAACCATTCAGCAATATTTATCACAAAAAATAGCATTTCTTTTTCAATGTTCCGTCTTTTGTGCAAGGGAGATGCACTGTGTTTGGTGTTGGAAATATTCTTCTACATCAAAAAATACTCAAAATGCAACGTGAAGGTAGACAAATCGAAACAAATTGATCCAAACGTGTTATATATTTGAAACTGAGAAATACACAGAGCATATCACAAATGTTCGCCTATTCCAACCCTATGGTGCAACATATAGATTAAACAGATGCTATGTTGTAAGTGTCAAGATATCAACACCAAGTCAAAATTATGGCATTCCAATAATATTGATAAATATTACACAAAATATATCTCAAATTTCAACTTATCCGACCACCTAAGGGTGGCATACAACAATTGAAAAAAAAATTCTGAAATCATATTGAGAAACATCACACAAAATATATCTCAAATGTCCACCTATCCGGCCACCTGAGTGTGGCATACAAGAATTGAAATAAAAATTCTGAAAGTATATTGATAAACATTACACAAAATATATCTCAAATGTCAACTTATCCGACCACCTAAGGGTGGCATACAACAATTGAAAAAAAATTCTTAAATCATATTGAGAAACATCACACAAAATATATTTCAAATGTCCACCTATCCGGCCACCTAAGTGTGGCGTACAAGAATTGAAATAAAAATTCTGATATCATATTGAGAAATATTACACAAAGTATGTCTCAAATGTCCACCTATCCGGCCACCTAAGTGTGGCATACAAGAATTGAAATGAAAATTCTGAAATCATATTGAGGAACATTACACAAAGTATATCTCAAATGTCCACCTATCCGGCCACCTAAGTGTGGCATTAAACATTAAAATGAAAATTCAGAAATCATATTGAGAACATTATACGAAGTATATCTCGAATGTCCACCTATCCGACCACCTAAGTGTGACATACACAAGAATTGAAATGAAACTTCTGAAATCATATTGAGAAACATTACACAAAGTATATCTTAAATGTCCACATATCCGGCCACCTAAGTGTGGCATACAAGAATGGAAATGAAAACTCTGAAATCATATTGAGAAACATTATACAAAGTATATCTCAAATGTCCACCTATCCGACCACCTAAGTGTGGCATGAAACAATCACAGTGAAAACTCTGAAATCATATTGAGAAACATTACACAAAGTATATTTCAAATGTCCACCTATCCGGCCACCTAAGTGTGGCATACAAGAATTGAAATGAAAACTCTGAAATCATATTGAGAAACATTACACAAAGTATATCTCAAATGTCCACCTATCCGACCACCTAAGTGTGGCATGAAACAATCACAATGAAAACTCTGAAATCATATTGAGAAACATTACACAAAGTATATTTCAAATGTCCACCTATCCGGCCACCTAAGTGTGGCATACAAGAATTGAAATGAAAATTCTGAAATCATATTGAGAAACATTACACAAAGTATATCTCAAATGTTCACCTATCCGGCCACCTAAGTGTGGCATACAAGAATTGGAATGAAAATTCTGAAATCATATCGAGATACATTACACAAAGTATATCTCAAATGCCCATCTATCCGGCCACCTAAGTGTGGCATACAAGAATTGAAATGAAAATTCTGAAATCATATTGAAAAACATTACACAAAGTATATCTCAAATTTCCACCTATCCGACCACCTAAGTGTGGCAAAAAAAAAAAATGAAAACTCTGAAATCATATTGGGATACATTACACAAAGTATATCTCAAATGTCCACCTATCCGACCACCTAAGTGGGGCATACAAAAATTGAAATGAAAATTCTGAAATAATATTG